AAGTCGAAAATATAGAATAAAAATTTTTCGTTCGAGGCTTTGTTTTCGAGAAAATCGACTTTGAATTTTCGCTCGGTACGCGTGCACTTTATCGCGTCTCGTTATAACGGATCTCACTGTAGATCGTTGTCTCGATGGAAAAATTAAAAAAAAAAATTTTTATTCTATATTTTCGACTTCTTTTTTTGCGTAGAATCACCCTCTTTCCGCTTGTACCACCAGTTACCAACCACCCTGTATATATATCTGTATGCGTATTAGAATTCTGCCCTGAAGTATTGGGTTGGCAATTAAGTGATCGCGGATTTTGTCAATACCACATAATGACAAAATCCGCAATCACTCAATTGCCAACCGAATGACTTTAAATAGTTTTTGAGACGATTAGTAGCTTGTGGTCAGAGAGACGAGGAAAACGAGAAGTTAATATACGAGGATGTTACTAAATTGTATTGGTCGGATAATATTGGTTAACAAATTTGTTAAATAACTAGTGGCCTGTGGTTAGAGAGACGATAGAAGTACCAAATGAATATGTACGTGTTAGAATCTTAATAAATCACAGTCTTTTCGTTAAATTAACGTTGGAAAAATTCTAGTTGGTCGCCTTAACCAATTTCGTTTGAACGAATAATAGATTGCAATGGAAGGAGCAATGAAATTAAAAAACAAATTATTACGATCCTAATAAATCACGGCTTTTTCATCAAACTGTCATTATAACCTGTTTCTTGAATAAATTGATCGCCACTTCTTTATTACGCATATAAATTTAGTAAACCGGGTATCGACGAAATCGAGACGAGCTGGCCTCGGTCAGTTTCTCAAACACGACTGCGAGGACGAGAAAACAAATCGATTTAATTAATCTAATTGAAATAATTATAAACGACTGTCTAATCGATTACGAGAGACGCGAACGTTTAACGCTATTAATAGCGTTAAAAGCCCGTCATCGGATAACGCTAATCGATCGTTTGTGCTCGCTAACATCTCGAAAATTGATCGAAATTTCCTACTTTTACTTGCTGCTTGGCAAACTTTCGAATTCGTTTCGCGACATAGAACGCCTTCTTTCTCTTACGACGAACAAAACGCGCCAGCTTTTTCAACGCACGTTCAAATATTCTCGAAATAGAGCGCTCGAGTACTGGTTCTAACGTATAATACTAAACGAGTCACCTCGAGTGGTTCGCTTTCGAACTCGATGGATGCCTATAACCGGATCGTGAGGCTATTGTCTCGCTCGACTTTGTTGTTTTACATGATTGGATGACAGTCGAGGGAAAGATGGTCATTAGAAGCGACGAGCTGTGAATGAGTGTATCGATTAGAGGGGAATCGTAAAGGGACGATGTTATGTTGTTGCGGGGGATCCGGCGTTGGAGGAGCAGCGATGTACGCGTATGTAACGCGAAGTAGAAAGTGGAATTCGCGGATCGGGAGGAGATGATAAGCGGCTACGCCATGCGTTTCCTTTGCAAGCGTTGGAAATGGAAATAAACGCTGCTGTATCGACCGAGACATTGGGAAAACTTGCAGATCCGAAGCTTGGGAATTCAAACGTTGAAATTAATCTTACGGGGTACAAGAGGAATTTGAAAAAGTTTGCAGATTAATCTCTCGAAGGACGCATTTTTTAAAGTCAAAAAGATATAGCATTCTTCGGAACAGGTACCGATGTATCCTACGATCGAAGATCGAGCGTATAACTGCTGCGATTCATCACGCGGAAGACGAGAAGAATTTTAAAAAGTTTGCAAATTAACCTCTCCAGAGAGGTATTTTTTAAAGCTAGAAAGATATTTCTTCTTGCAAAGACGTATCGATATCCTCGATGTTTCATAAAGTGAACATAATTCCAGTGGTTAACCGTGTTTTGCATATTATTTTTCTCAGACTACATACACGATTTTTATTCTACTTGGAATTATTATTATTATTATTATTATTATTATTATTATTATTATTATTATTATTATTATATTTTTAATCATTCGCCTATGTAACATCTCTAGTAGAGGCACTCCTCTTTGTACAGATCTCGTGACGCTGGTCTTATGCAACATTCACGGCAGTCTTGAACATGAAATTCCAAGGAGGAGCTTCCTGTCACGAAGAGCCATTGATGGTACCAGGGGGAGGTATTGCGTTCGTTTCGTTTCGCGTGTATTCACGCGGATGCGTGCGTACGATTAAACAAGCCTTCGATGTCGTTTCAGGAAGTTCTTCGATCCGGAAGAAGAGGGAGCGTTCGACAGTTACGGATCTGCTGGTGGCCAGTACGATCCATACCAAGAGAAAACAGGTAGATTGTTCGTTTCTTGTCTTTTTTTTTCTATGAAATTCCTTACTAATTAACGCGTAGCGATTTTAATGATTTAATTTTATGCCAATTAACCGTAAAATCACGAAATTCGTCGAAACGACGAATTATCTTGTTTTATCGAGATGCAACGTACAGGGGAATGTAACTTGAAATTGTAATTATCTTAACTTTCGATCTCGTAAAATGATATAAAGTGACATGTAATCGAGCGAGATGATATATCGTTCGAATGATCATTTTTCAAGTATCTTATTTCAACAATGTCCGAGTCTATATCACCGTGTGTTACTTAAAGTGTGAAAAATTTCTAACGTCTGGATTTAATATCGCTGCCAGATACTGTCAGCCATCGTAATAATTGATAACTGGTTGAACAATGCTACCTAACAAAGTCGATGGCACTGTGAATAGAAAGATCCTTAACAAGGAACGACGATAACTATCTGTAAAGTGATTCTATGAAAATAATCAGTCGGAGAATGGGGACGGGTCAAGGAGTCCCTTCGTTTTCTCGCAATTTCTAATATAAAAACTAAAATTGACTTTCCATTAAATCTCCACTGCGCGGAAGAATTCTCGTTAACATTTCTCAATTTTCATCTTTAGATTTTATTTGCCTGCAATCACAGTTACTTTATTCTTATGTCCCCAGCAATTAATAACTCGTGACATCATTTTTATTCATTGACACGATTATTTAATACGTCTACAGTCAACAAAGAGCATTGTCATAGGAACGGAGGTGCGAATAAAAAGGACTCGCAATATGCTAATTCTCCGACGCTTAGGCGGTATAATGTTGTTCATCTTGTTTCTTTTTCTTCGATTAATTGCGCGTTGACACCGATTCCATCGATCGATGCCAGTGTTGTTAAAAACAGACACTCGTTATGAATGATCGATCATTAGAAACGAGGATTCGTGTTGCAAAATATTTCCAAGATTCTCGGTATCTTCTGCATTTCTGCAATTTTATATTCCCATATTCTACGTATATTTTCAAGATTCTACGTGGCTTCTAAGCAGCCTCACGAAAAGTACAAAATTACTGCTCCTCTCGACAAGCGTAAGACTGTTTAACGCAAGGTACAATCAATCTTACACCAATCCGAAGAACTTCTCACTAGGACGATGATCTATCAAAACGAGGCAAATTAGTATCGACACCTTTAACATTAAGCACAGAAATTACGAGGAAATCGATGGGTGAATCTAAATTGCTATACGAAGATCCTCCATTAAAGATATAATTGCGAGTTACAGTCTCTTTTACAGGTACGAAGGAAAAATCCTGATTACCGAGATTATTAATAATTTTTCTTTATTTTTCCATCTTCGCAAAGTATGAACCTACATAGTTAAATACCGAGTGATAGACGTTCCGTTGGATTAAAAAGCAGAGTCGTCGGACGAGGACATTATCAAGTGGCGTGAAAGGCGTTAGGTATGACGGATGATGGAAAAATCGCGCCATAGGTCACGTGAAACCTCTCGCGACTTACAAGAAGCAAACCAAAGAAATCACGTGCGGCGCTGTAAACGAAGCGAACACGTCCTGTTAAATGTCACACACGCTGGATTATCCTGACGAGGTGTTTTTCACGACCTTGACTCACCAACGAGCCATTATGCTCCTTTATGTAAGGCCTGGCACGTGATGATTCAGTTTCTCCACGTGAAATCTGTGTTGGTCGAAGCTTTCATTTTAATCATTGTTTATTCGGTTTTGAATATTTCTTTTCTGGCTGAGCAGATATTTTACATTTATACTTTCTACGATTACGTATTATCTTATCGAATTATATATGAATAACCTTGTCCTCTTTAAATAAATTCTGTTGTATACTGCACGGAGAAATGAAAGAATAAAATTCAATCGATAATTTTCTCATTATTTAAAATCTACCATGATTGGATTTATTGTAATTTTACTTTATCTTCGAAGTTGAAGAATCGACGAAGAAATGGATATTGAAATAAATATTTTATGGAACATAGAACAAAGAGATTTAATCGAATTCCAATGATTCTTTACTTTTACGAAATGGATCACTTGTATAATTTATCTAAAGATCTGGTGGAGTACAAAAGAATTTTTTTAACGATTTTTCACTAAAAAGTCTAAGAACCTGAAATTTGATATTTAGTTGTTGAAAAAGTGAAAGTTTCTATGCTTTGCAAGAAATTGGAGTTTTAAACAAACGTAAGTGTGTTTGCTCGAACAAACAATTAACAGGCCATTCATAATCATCGTAACATTTACCATAATTCAGAATGTATACCTTTCGTTCTTAGCATATACGAGCACAATCATCGCATCGTTCAAAGTTCATTGAAATGCTCACAGTCATTCGATGATATTTATTTAATGTCATGCTAAGACGATCTGCAGATGCTTGCCATTCTCTCCAATTTGTTACTACAATATACGATGTAATTTTGGAATATCTTGTCGGTTTTATCGTCGATAATAACCCGCAATATAAAATCAATGGCATGGCTATCCAATTCATTTGGCTAATATTATTCACGTTTATTAATTCAACGCTTCTTGTTCGACTATTAAGCGAGCAGTGAATACTAAGCGATTGTATGTTCTTTTCATTTTTTTGTTTTAGATTTGTCAGACATTAGGAGGAACGTGCCAGGAGAACCAGGTATTGATTATCCGGCATACACGACGCTCCCTCAGACAGGTTTCACGTGCGAGGGACGCTCACGAGGTGAACTAAATTGCTCCTTTTTCTACCTTCGTAAAACTCAGTATATGGTTAAATCATTCCGGAATAAAAATCTTTACAAGATAAGAGATTTATTCGCATAGAATTTCATCATAAAGTTGATATAATTCTTACTTACCATTTATATCGTTACACATAGATTGAATTATATTTTTGTAGTTAATATAACTAATTATAGTTGTAATCTAATTATCTTGAAACAAAGGTACTTTGTATAATATAACTGTACGATAAGTTTTAGAGAAATAGTTAGAGCAATTAATTGTTAATCTAACAAGCTAACAAGTGTCTTGTAAATATCTCGATTCTCGATGGATTTCCGATTTTTTCTTCTAGAAATAATATTTCTCTTCCTCTATTCCCGGAAGCAATACATCGGCCACGTTATTTTACAATTTTGCATTCGTAATTTTTCGCTGAAATACTTGGGATTTTCAGATAATATAAGACAAAAGATTTCTGCAGTGACTGATATATAGAATCGAAGCGAGTATGTTTCTAGATGCAATTCAATTCCTCGGAATAAAATCGAAACAGATCTACGTACACCTTTACCCTCAATTTCACTTCATAATGCTGCGAATTACTACGTACACTAAGAGATTCTGTTCGGACAGCTAATGCAACCACGTCAGAGTTAGTCAATTTTCACATAGCAATCAATGGTATGACCGCTTGATCTTAACCATTCGAAAGAAAGCGGTTGAAATTGGCATCTATATTAATAAAATTCATAGATTGCTTGAAATTGAACGTATTTGTCGTGAATATCTTTCGAATCAAATGGAAGAGAATATTCACTTCCTCTGTGAACAGAGCAGTAAAAGTAAGAAAATTCTCGATACAATAATATGCTTAATAATAATAATATAAAATCTTTTTTAAATCTCAACTTCCTTTTGGGATTCGCATGTTTAATTACGTAAACTTTCTCATTTATGAAGAATATTAAATCAATCGTATGAAACTGCAATGGTATTGATCTTAACCATTCAGGTTGAAAGAAAGCGGTTGAAATTGGCATTTATATTAATAAAATCCATAGATCGCTCGTCCGATTGTTCTGCCAGAGTTCGTAAAAACGAAATTGAACGTATTTGTCGCGAATATCTTTCGAATCAAATGGAAGAGAATATTCACTTCCTCTGCGAACAGAGCAGTAAAAGTAAGAAACTTCTCTATATAATAATATACTTAATAATAATAATAATAATTTCCTTTTGGGATTCGTATGTTTAATTACGTAAACTTTCTCATTTATAAAGAATTTTAAATCGATCGTATGAAACTACGATCTTCGGTATTACCCTACTAAATTTAAATCCTGCAAAACGACATTTAGTATATACCAATTATTAATAAAAAATATTAGAACAAACGGTTTCCAGAGTGTACGTATCCCATTAAAGATCCACGTGCATCAGCTTTATCCTACGACCGATTACCATTGATTCACACGTGTTTCACGCTTTTCCACATGCAGTATCGATGTCAAGGATGTCTCTCACGCACACGATGCTAGCACGTGCGACCTGTGAAATCCATTCGCAGTATTTTCTTCGGTTTCGCAATAGGTCAGCGTTGCACTAGCCGTGGGGCGAAACTTGTCGTAAAAATCGCACGAAAATGTTTGCCGATGTACATTTCAGCTGGAAAGGCAAACGTTCGCGTCGCCCAACGAAACGTATTTATCTTTGGCTACGCGTGTTCGTTCAAGATCTGGTATGAATCTTCTTCTTGCGTCTTATGAAAACTTTCAGCTCGTGGAACGTTGCCAGAAGCAAAGTAACGATAACAATTGAAACTTAGGAAATTGTTGGAATTTTTAGAAAATTTTTATACAGAGTCGAAGAAGAGAGGTTCGATTTCCTGATTTGGATTAGATTCGAGTTCAGTTTGAATCGGGTTGATAGAAATTGAAACTTGTCAAATCCATACAGTCGCTGAAAGTCCTCCAGAGAATTGTTGATATAATCTGACTGATAAAAATTAGGGACTTTTAAACGTTCATACCGACGAGAAAATAATCTTTTGCCAGTTTCACGATTCTTTGCTGTGAAAATAACAGGTTCGTTGGCGATTTCGTCCACAGACTTAATTACAGTTATGAACAACGACCATTTAGATAAGTGGCACGAATATGAACGAGTTTCAGAAGGCAAAAGAAAGTACAGTCTCAGTGTAATACTCTGTTATATAGTTTCTTTATTGAGCAATATCCTGATAATCTTGTACAGTTATACGATGTTCCTGCAGAAGCAACAGAATGTCGGCGAAAGCGACTCAACAATAAGATAAAGGCCAGACGGATAATCCAAACGATTCTGACGCGAGGCAATCGCCGTTCAGAAGCTTAGTATGCTGTTATTCAGCTGGTTACAAATCGGCACGGTGTTTGACTTTTGCCGATGGAAAATAGCGAAAGCTTAATATTTTATCTTACTGTATGGGAATTTTTCAGGAGGAAGATTTCAGTTTTTTCTTTCCTTTGAAAAGGGAATTACTTTGAAGTTTTTTAAAAATTAATTTTTTAATTCTGACGTTTGATTAAAAATTTGTATAGAAAGAGGAGTTGAATAGTTTCAGTTTCGAATATTAAATTAAATTTATTCTATATGCGTGTGTGTAAAGAAATTAGCCAAAACTTGCAACGTCTTCTTGCAACGCATGTAATTGGGATCATCGCGAACTTTACAGAACCTGTCATTCTTTTCCAAATTTATCCGTGTTTAATGGAAAAGTGTTCGATTTTTGGTCATTTATTTCGTCCTAAATTTATAGAATAAAACGTCATGCGATTCGTGTTCCTTTATTTCATCCTGTTTAGTCTTTCTCCAAGTTTTAACAGCTTCTAGCTCGCTGGATGTTGGCCGTATCAAAAATTTGTCCAGAAGATGGAAATTGTTTTTTTACTTATAGGTTTGCGACGTGATTTTTCCTGGTTGTTGGCTAGCTTAGGCGACAGACAGTACAAATATGATTACCCTAATATGATTACAAAAAGGAAATTAAATACTCACATCCTCGATCTCTCTTTCTATCGACTCTGTTACGATAAATTGTTTGGTTTTCTCGTTTGGTTTCAATAATTTGTTGTTGGTTTCTAAAAAGCTAAATCACGCTATCTTATAGCGAAATTGAAAAAATGTCTAACACGTCCAACTGGCATTAAATCAAACGCAATTCTAAAATAAAAATCGAAGCCTCACGACTTCGACTTTTCCTTCTTTCCTGAAAGAAACCTCGGTAACTACTTTTAATGCGTCATCCATCACTGTTACGTTCGATACACACGATATCCATTTTCTTGTCGAAAGAAATCGTGGCGAGCATTCATAGAATGAAGAAAGCAACTTAATTGAAATTTCCAAGCAGCAGGTCATGTCGCGATGAACACTGGGGCGTCTTTTGTATCGCGAGTCTAAACTCGCGGAAGAAACCGCGTTATTAGATAATTCAAAGGAAGAGAGAAAGATGTGGAACAAGCATAGAAACGTCGTCTCGCGTCCCTTACGTAACGCGCATAATACTTAAACATTGCTTATTGCACGATTATCTTAAATTGAAAAAAACTGAATAAAGGAAGATTTAGGAGACAGGAGCACGGATTGACCAAGTATCGATTGAATAACGGGTCGAATTGTTCATATTTCGTTTTGGTAAATCGTTGAAATTCTTTTGGAAGATATAGTGTTATCATCAGAATGAAAAATAAAATACCCAGTTAGTCGTATTGAAATATCGAAATTCAGGGAATTGGAATCTAAATTTCTCTACTAACTAAGAGAAAAATAGGAAGAAAGAATTAGAAAAATTTTTCAAGTACGTGAAATGTTTCAGTCTCTTATAAAACTCTCTTATGGATTAAAAATAGTAATTGAAAGAATGATAGAGAGCTTTAGAAATGTCTGCCATCCGAACACTCGGATATTCAAAAAGTGGAAATATTGCAGATTTTGTATTTCGATATCGAAGATTATTACGGAATCTCATAATCTAAAAAAATAAACATTTCTAATTTTCCTTAGGGTACTACGCGGACGAGGTGGCGGGATGCCAGGTTTTCCATGTGTGCCACGACGTATTGGTCTCCTCCTTCCTCTGCCCCATAGGCTCTGTATTCAGCCAAAAGCTGCTCACCTGTGACTGGTGGACCAAAGTAGACTGTTCAGCTAGCAGCAAATACATAGACGTGAATCGCAACAGTTACCAGCAAGATGACGACGAGATGATTCGAAACGCTTACGCAATGATCAGTCTCCAATCAGGAACAGACGTGACCAAGGATGGTCTGGTAGATCCTGATCGAACTGGAAGCGTGGTGGACTATCAGAGAGGTCCAGGAAGAATCCTCGACTATTCGTCAGTTGACACAACAGGAAACGACTTGAGGACCAATTTCGAAGACTATCGTAGACCTGCCAATCGAGATTTCCTGCCACCCTATCAACTCAAAGACAAAAAGCCGGAAATTAGTGGAAATTATCAAAGCAAATTCTATTCTAGCGAGAAATCCAGGTCTCCCTACGAAGATTCGCCGATTATTCGAGTTCAGAAGATCAACGATCCAGGATATGGAAACCAGAGGAACAAAGATTTCCAGGAGACCTATCGAAGGCCCAACGAGTTCACCAATCAGTTCCAACCATCTTACGCACCTACTGTACCGACTGTCACCACTACAACTAGAAGATTTTACTCTCCAACTGTCCCTACCACATTCAAATCGTCTACTTTGGCATACAACAAGTTGGACCAGGCGATAGACAGCTCTGAATATTATCTTTCGCGCAGTAGGTCAAACAGCTTCGTCACTCCTCCTACCAGAGTCTTCTCGAACGACGACAAGAGTAGACAGGATTTAGGAAGAGACTTGAAAATATCTGAAGCTGTTTCTTTGAGGAAACCGAACAGGGATGACGATTATAGTAGACAGGAGAGTTACGAGTATGATTACGACGATGTCAATAGCGACGAAACGAGAGACGAACGTCCTAAAGAGAGATTCCAGGTGAGAGTTCTCGACGATTTTAATTACAATCGTACCAAAGTGTCGAACGGAGGAAGTTCTTTGTTTGATAGGGTCTACGCAGGATTCAACCACAACAGCAACAACGAAGAACCTCTGGACGACTTCGAAACGAGAGGTAGCATTGGTCTAGGCCACGCGTTTCGTCAGTCGTTCAGGGGAATCTCGGTTGACGAACAGAATCCTGCGAGAGACGAAACCAAAGTTTATGGTGAAACTCAAAGAGGAATTAATTTCAATAAAGAAGAGATTAAGTACACCTTGGTCAGACCGGAGCCTACGCGTTATCCCGCAGAAAAGAAAGAGGAAACGACTGAACAATACCAAAGAAACGATCAAAGAGACACCAAAACGAATAAGGAAGAATTTCTGAATAATTTCAATACTTTCCCATCAACGACCGCTTCGTCAATTATCGAAAGTACCATCAAAGCAAGCACGAATCTTCACGAACCACGTTCTTCGATATCAAATGGATCGAGTGATTTGAACAATTCTACTGACGTAAATTCCGAATTTTTTAATGAGAAACATTCCATCGATACAGAGGACAGTGGTTCTCAAACGTCTAGACCAGTCGAATTTCTAGAATCTCCTCAAAAGACGCAAAGTAAGTTCCAGATAAAGGTGCCAGATATACCTGAAGGATCCACTTTATTTAATCGTTACACGACTCAGAATGATGAACCTAGTTCAAAGACGACTGAGATACCGAGGTTCCAGAGCATTGGTTCTGACGATTATGTCGATCAGTCTACTTCTTTCGATAGAAACACAGGAGTAACGACCAATTATGGAAACGCAGAGATCTCTGAAGACTCCAGTTTGCAGAATCATGGTAGTACTGTGGCTAGACCCCTAGTACCCTCCACTGGATCGTGGTTTTCTTCCTCTTTCTCCGATCAATCGAATACCAAAAGTCCAACGAAAGATTACACCAGGCCCGAAGAAGGTGAATCTCCTCACACAAATCATTTTGATCCTTCTTTCAAATCTACGAACGACACTGAAGAGAAACTTGAGGATAATAAAAAGAGTGAACTTCGGTTTACCACAGATGATGCTGTTCAGAATTCCAGGACGATTTCTGTGAGTGCAAGCACCGTGTCTCCGCCAAAGATTATAAAAGCTATAACATCCTCGGGTTTCGTGAACTCTTCAGGAAGTGTTTCAATAATTAAAACTCCCGAAGAATTGTCGACACAGGGACCGATCGGAATTTCGACATCTCCCGTAACTAAATCTGTCGATATTGAATCTTCGGTGTCAACTTTCAGACCTGTAACGCATAGGAGCATAGAATCAGGCAGAAGATCGGAAGAGAAGTCGAAAGATGACAGAGATAGCGTAGAAGCCTCGACCGTGAATGCTTTACTTGGATCCATCATGCCAGAAACTCTAAAGCACATCGAAGAAGCTATAGAGAAGAATAATTCGCCTTACCAAGTGACGTTGACGATGAACAAAGGCGCGGAGCTGATACCTACCGGACAAGATATAATTAGCAAACTGATAGCCCAACAGGGCAAAGAAACGTCGACTCTCAATGACGAGATACACGAACTAGAAATAATTAGATCTTTGGAGCCAGAAGTTCATAGAATGACAGAGTTACAGATCACTGCGGCGAATATTTCGGACGCGAGAAATGCGTCTAACTTCGGAAACGATTTTATCAATTCCGATCTAACCGATTTTAAGGCAAACAACCCGAATACAGTCAGTCTTCTTCAACTGATGTCGGAATTAATGAAACATGACCGAGTTCCTCGACCATTTTCCCTGTCAGTCGCTCAAAATCCGGAGCTACAGACAGTAAATTCGAACGTGCAACAGCCGGATGAAGCGACATTTAGGTCTCAAGAGAGTTCTGCGCTGCCGAACTTGAAAACTTCTGCTCCTCGATCGAAAGAAGGGATTCTGGATCAGCTAGAGCAGCATTTCGGAGAACCTCTTTACAGAGAACAGAAAAAGATATTTGATCTTCCTGAGAAACAGAGGTCGATTGATTTCCAGACCGCAGTTCTTTTTAGGAACACGAACAAATACGAGGAATCCAGCACCGATAAGACGATCGTGCCGATTGCTCAAACGAATTCTAAGATAGATATTAGGTCGACGACGACATCTACGCCGAAGACCACGTTTGCCACGAAATCCGAGAAGACTGTGGTGAAAACAGAATTTGTTCCATCGATTGGATTCTCTTTTGACACCGACGAGGGTAGAGAAGAATACGTCGAGGCTGTTTTAGGTGGCCTGATCGAGCCACAGGCAGCAGAAAGTCAGAAGAAAGAAATTATCTCGAAAGAGAAACCAGAGGGAGAGACGATTTTGAAAAAGAATGAAACAACAAAAAGTGTCCCAGAAGAGATTTAAGGGTTGTTTCTAGGATGATTTTTCCAAGGATGAACTTAGGTTTAGAACGAAATCTGTGATGTCCTGCCGTTTCGTGCTTTCTATGATAGATCTTCTCGACTATCTTTTTTCTTCTCCCTTAATCGATATTTTTGAATATTTTCTCTTTTATTCTCGGGGGTATTACGAGTTCGAGACTTTTGTAATTAACGTCCCTTCCTTCGTGATTGAAAAATATAACGAATCATTGAATACAGAGGGATTATGGTATAATAATTTGAAATGGGGGATTAATAGTTTTTTTACCATTTATGTTGCGAGAGAATTAAACAATCGAGAGGATTACAAGTACGAAATTTGTATGAAATTAACGTTCCTTGTTTCGTGATTTAAAATTTCAACGAGCTTTTGATGGAAGTCTTGGAAGACGGAGATTAATATTTCTTGTTACCATTTATATCGTAAGCGAAGAAAAAGGGCTGATATATAATTAGTTTCATTAACTCTTTCTAGGATATTCTTACTTTTAATTAAATCGACTAACATAACAGTGAGTTGGGTGTAAAATGTCTTTAAGGTTTTAAGATAGAACTAGACGTAACATGTATAAAATGGTAATTATATTATCGTTGTTGATAAGATCTATCATTGGTCTTCAGAAAAACAATATCGTTACTATTTGATAATACAAAATACGTTTTACTAACTTGATAACCTACCAATGACAAGGAACAGGGTTTCGATACTGTAAACTATAGATTCGTAGATGTGTGTGTTAATGTATGTACGAGTGTGCAAGAAACAATAGTAATTATACGACTATTAAATTGTACCTTATGTAACCCAACATTCTAATGATTCTTAAATATATCCTATCGTTGCGAAGAAGAGCTTCTTTATTTCCTTTTGAAATTCCTTTAGACTTGAAAACGTTGAATCTTTTTAAACTTGGTTATTTAAAATTTAGAATTCGATTAGTTTGAAATTTTTTAATATCCTACGATTCGAAATTTTGAAAACTCGAAAATCTGGAGTTTGGAAATTAAAAGATTCGAAAATTATTCGATTAGATATTTGTCGTTAAATACAAACATTCAAGATTTAAAAATCAACGTTTGGAAATTCGCAAGGACTGCAAATTTTCCCACTTTTCTCTAGTTTGCCTCTATTCGCAAAACGTTGGTTATTTGCCATGGCAACATCGATACATCAAGTTTCGTAATTCGTACGCGTTTAATCGATTCATAGTGTACAGTGCTAGGTTAAAGTGCTCAAGCCTCCTTATAAACAGTCTACGAATCTTATCGAACGATTAAGTAGTCAAATAATTAACATTTTGAGTCAGAATTATTATAAAAGCAAGAGCAATGGCACAGCTATTTTAATGTACTAAAAGAATAAAGATTTTGCATGACACGTTGAAGTTATCAAACTTTTGAAAATTCTTTAAGAGGATACCATTACGAAAGCTTTAATTGATCAAATTATGGCTGAGTCAGAAAGCGAATCTGTAAAACCTGACGTCGAAGGCGAAGACGAAGAAGATGAAGATAACAAAACGGATGCCCACAGTTTACCAAGTAAACAATCTTTGATACACATGGACTATCGGTAATAAAATAAATACACATTTCTACGATTTAATAAACACAAATGATTAATTGAAACAAATGATTAATTTTGATAGGATAATGTGGATACGGGACAGAGTGATGAAATTTTTGGGTATAAGTGGTCACGAGCTGCTCTTCTACAAACTTCTAAATGTAAATAACAACTTATATCGAAATTATTGAAAAGCAATCGAATATTCTTTAGATATTTCTACCGATCTGCAATAGAATAACATCTCGTCCTTCTCGAATCAAAGCCACGAATATGCAAATTCTAGAATGGTCCGTACAACGAAAACGAAATCAGTGCAGAGATTTATTTCACTCGAAAGAATCGGTATACTTGAAGACATAGAAAATCATTTCTTTTTAAACGATTTTTCATACTTTCTCGTCAACTTTCGCCTTTACCTCACCTTTGCCACGAGAGAGAAAATAAACGCGCGATTCGAAACTATAGGCAAACAATCGATACTTCGAGGACAAGCTACTCAATTTTCTGCTACTGGATCTCTATGGTGTGACCGATCTTGAGAGAAAGGTGATCTTTTTCTACTGCACCTATTCCACTGAAATCATCCACGTGGAAGTTCCGGTCTGGGAAAGTAAGTAGTTCATCTTTCTTAAACTAATTACAGCGAACACGAATCAGATAGATTATTGTATCGACTCTAAGGATATAAATTACTTTGTTATTGATGGATGATAGGCAAGCACGGTGTTGGTAAATTAGCCGCTTTGACGGCATTGTCGATGAAAAGGAAAAGTCGTAAGTTGAGAGGAAGAACCTTTGGTAAATTGTATCTTTAACAATTCAATTTTGTCGTGCACAGTTTGGTAGAATCCTGTTACATTCCATCCTTCCAATGGATTACTGGTTTGGTAAATCATATTTCCAACGATCCAAGTGACTTTTTTATCCACAATTTTCCACCTTCTGTTACGTTCTGCCCTTTTGATAGTTCACCTTTTTGGTAAATTGTATTTTCAACGCTTCAAACGAATTTTCTATGCACAGTTTGTTAGATTTTTTGTCTCTGTGGGGTCAATCAAAGCGTAGGATTGTCGTTTATGGATTTATGCTTCGATCAAAGTGCCAAAGCACGTGTTTGGTATTTACAGCTAAGCTACTGGATTGATAGTCGCACGTCGAACGTACGACGAGTTATAACGTCAATGATAATCCACAGGAAAGGCGGAGAAAGTTTCACAAAAGGAAAGAAAGAAACGAAGAGTAAAGAAAACAAAAGCAAAACCGTCCAAGCTCGATCCGCTTGCTCTTTTGCGTCAAGTCGAGGTATCCACGATGACAATTCAATCGGAGCAAAAATCAATGATAAGTACTCGTATCGACGAGGACACGGAAGATACAGAAGACGAAGGGGAGGAGGACGAGGGAAGGGAGGAGGAGGAAGAAGGAGAAGAAGGCGATTCGCGAGAAGCGAAAGAGATAGGAAGTGGCGATACAATTTTTAGAACGAAAGATCCGGAGAAAAGTGCTTCGATCGGTAAATTACACGAATGTTATTGCAATTATAAAATAAATATATTCGATGAAACGATCCCGATTCTTCTAATTTTTAGACACTCCAGGCTTCGTACCACCGCCAGGAGAAGAACACAAATATATTATGACCAAGGTACTCGATTACATCCGCGTACGACGTTATCGTTCGTTGATTAAAACACGAATACATTTTAAATACGAAAGAAACGAAAGGAAAATTTGTTGCATAGAAACTAGTGGAAAAAGTACGAAAAATACCAAACTTGCACATGATATGCGGTAAAGTGGATGGTAGCAGAACAGACTTGCATGACGTTACTTTATTCTACTTCCTGAGGACTATCGACGAGGGTATACCAAACTTCGATTCTTACATGGATTGCGATGAACAAATAACGCAGTATTTGGTCGTTGGATCTCTACAGGGGAAATTTTTGGTTTCGTTGAATAGGATGCTCGTTGAGGTAGAAAAGCATATTTGCAATAATTTATATTTTTATTTCAGTAATTTTATTTCTGTCCGGATAACGCACCAGTGTATTTATTTTATACTTTTAAATTATACATCGATAAGATTCTGCTTGCGAAAACTTTTACACGACAGATTTTTATCTTGGAGATTCTTTGTCTCGACGATATATGTTAAAAGTATACTTTGATCACAGACTTTTGACAGCCATTCTATGTTTGTTTCTTTTTTTCGTAAAATTCATATTCTTCTTCGTCTCGTAAACGTATTTATAGTTACGGAAATTCCATTTATTTTTCTTCTTCTTTTTTTTCTTTTTTCAGGTTTTTAAACCATTGGTTCAAGCTCAATTCAGAGGACCACAACTTTCAGAAGCACTCAAAGAAGAAGAGCCTGATATAGACGAGGAACGTCCTCCAAGTTTAACGGACATCATGGCAGCTCGAGTATCTAATATTACTTTCTTTGATAAAAATACTGAATTTCGTCTAAAGTATTTAAAGATATTGTACATGTAACCTGTGCGTAATGTGATACTTATACGTAGCTCGTAACGAAAACGATTTTTATCAAATTGTTCAACTTTTTACATGATAACGGATTCCAGTAGTAAGAAATTAGATTTACAATATGGTGGAACCTATATGATAGAAAATGACTTATTAAAATTGTCGAACAGAGTTCAATCTTCAGAAGACCGTCAGAATTCCGCAGGATATCTATAGTCATGGCGAAGAAAGAGGCTGATAAAAACGCAGAGGACGACGACGATGACGATGAAATAGTAGAACCGAAACATTTTCAAACGATAGAGAGGGCGAAACTGAGACGAAGACGCATCAGGACTGTAGTCAATTTCGAAGAAGCTGGAAGCAAAACGGCGTTCAAAGAGCCAATTGTACGCGTGTCGGTCGATCAGAACAGAAACGATATCCTACATTATTTGGATAGATTGATATCTAACGTCGAATGGTTAGTAATTTCTCATTATTCGTCAATATACCGCGGTCAGTTGTCGATAAGCTTTGAATCCTTACGCATTTTTACGTATTTTGCACAGTCTACATATTTTTACATCTCGAGATTTCCCACAAATGCGTAAATATTCGGAATCTATTAGGAGAGAACATTTCGCGATTTATAAAATCTCGTCACGCTTTACAAGAATATTTGATTATAAATTATTTTTCGTCTCGATAAAAGTAACTTTGCAATTTTTATCAAGTTTTAACATAGAAATAAATTAAAAAAAAAAGAAAAATGAAATTCGTGACTGTTCGTCAGGACATTGGAAAACATCGAAGGCGATATTTTGCTGACGATGCCGAATATAGCGGAACTGGATGATCCTAACGTTACTGACGAGATGTTAGAAAAGAACAAGGAAGTGATCGAGCAACTGGAAAATGTGATTATGCTGTGGGGAGTGCACATAGAAAAGGTAAATGAAATTCTTGCCAGACATTGATTTCAAGAAAATTAGACACCTTTTCAACGTCTATATCACGTTATTTAATATACAGGTGTTGGAATCGTTCCAACAAAAAGTGCCACAAGGTAGAGGTCCACTAGCAGAGTGTGATTACTGGAAGGATCGAGAAGTAGGATTGTTAATGCTGGTGGAGCAATTAAAAACTCCTATGGCCAAAAGAATGTTGGGCTTATTGAGCAATGTCCTTTCGCCAATCGCCTCGAACTTTGATTATTTTTATTCAGACTTATGGAGATGTTATACCGAAGCCAGGGATAATAATCGATTCCTGCAGACTATTTTAAGACACTTCAAGGTGAAAAGAATTATCGTGTAATTTTGATTAAAAGTTCATTCGATAACTGATATAATAACTAAGATGTATCGTAGTTGATGACAGAGTCGGATTGCTTCAAAACAATCAGTCAAGCCATTCCTCAGCTAATGGAGGGAATGAGAATGATTTGGATTCTCTCGAGTTATTACTCGTGCGAAGAGAAAATGGTTGGTCTGATGGAAAGAATTTCATGGCAACTCTGTCAGACTGTCATAAAGCATTTATCCATCAAAGACCTATTCAAGTAAGTTCCACTTCAACGAACTTTTCAAATTATTTCCAACATTTTACCATATTTTAGCGAACAATACTCTGTGGATTATTTATACGTTTAACTCTTATTGCTATATTTTATTTTCTATATATACAGAAATACTCGTTTATAAATTTTCTTTCTCTCTTTTTGCCCAGTAGATAAAAATGTCTCGTCGTCGCGTCTACTTTGATTTAATTAATTTTGTTCCATAGCATAGACACAATGTTGAAATTGCGCTCTTAATATAGAAAACCTCAGAAAGTGATTCTACAACAAACGGAAGACGCTCGCGCGATGCTGAAGAGTTGGAAAGAAGCTTACTTGAAGAATCGAGAGGATATCGAAATCTCTGGCAGAGGAATGCGTTGGGAATTCGATCAAAATCGATTGTTTAAAGGAACTGAATACATTGCCTCCGTTTGCGATGGTTTGAACCAGGTTGCAAACGTTCTTCGAGACTTTCACAATATCTTTGGACCTGATTTAAAATCGATCATCAGTGATCCAGCTCAAATCGACACTATAATAAAACGTGTTGATAGATTGATCGTCCTAATATTGGACGCAGACTTCAATATTTTCGACGAATATAACAAAGAAAATTGGGAAGCTACTATGTCTTTGTTTTACGAAGAGGTACATTTCCTGGAGAACGAGGCTAAGTTCTTTATCGACGAGTGTTTCCTGGTATTGAGAAGCGCGGAAGATGCGCTTCATATGTTGCTCAAGTTCAAAGACACCAAGACTAGAGACACAATTCATCAGCAGCTGTTGAGAAAGTTTGACGTTATCATGCAACAATTCAGCAAGGAAGTCAGTATCGTTGAGGGGATATTCAATAGAGGCAAGATATTTATTTTGGTTTTAGCAAATCTTGAAACATATTACTGGCAAATTAGTTTGTAAACGTGCTATCAAATTTTATAGCTAACGTAATTTGAATAATAGAAATGCTATAATGTACTTTATGGATATGGAGTTTTATAAGGAAATAACGAATACAGAACGTGTTTCGTTTTATATTATTTATCAAGATAAAAATCACAACGTTTGGCAGATCAGGTTTCATGTTTGTACAAAGATGCGTTGTTGTAAAACACGTGTCTGTAAAAGAAAGACACTTTTCGGACAACCTAATATCAGCCTGTCTAATGCAAACTAAAATTTATTTGCTATAAAAAGTTGCTGTTGTATTTTTCGTATCTGATAAGAGAAACGCAGGAAAGTTTTTTTTGGATACAAGGAGATAATGCTATTTCTAAATCCTTTAGACCGAATTCTTTGTCATTTTATAACAAAGTTACACTGTCAAAGGGTTAATTGTCCCAAATTAACAGCTACAAGGAAAATACGGAGATACAAGAAATTGAATCATTAGCAAATTATTTCTAAATTATTTCTAAATTATTGATAAATTATTCGAATAAAAATTCTTTACTTTGTACGAAATATTTTTAACAGTGCATCGTATGGTATTATGTTTAGGGAAACAAAATCCTCCATTATTAACGTACCATCCTCCAATGGCTGGCGCTATATACTGGGTGAGACAGTTATTTCACCGTCTAAGAAGGCCAGTCTTGATAATCCAAAACATTGAAGAGTTGAAACACAGCAAGCTGAAGATTCTAGCTTTCAGTCAATACTACGAGGTGGCCAAACAAATGAAAGCATACGAGGAATCAAAATACCAATCGTGGGCAGATAAGGCCCAGTACGTTGTGTTGGACACCATGAAGAGGAGTATCCTGAAGATGGAACGTTCTGAACCGGAACAAGGTTAACAATTTTACATAAACCAACCTTCGATTCTCCACTAAAATCGTCGGAGTAGCCGAAATAATTAATTCGCAATAACGAAGAGAAATAACGAAATCCTAAACGAGAAATTTTGATTGAAAAAGAATGATCACGCGCAGAAACATTTAGCGCGAAAAAGTTAACATGCAAATGAGTCAGGAGTTGAACCTTGTTGCAGCAATTGTTAATTTTACTACGAAACATTTTATTATTCTGCATCTTCAAATCTGTTTAACGAAGAGAAGAATTTGTTACAGGTGTATTAACATTCCCAAATATCGAGAAAAGCACGAAGAATCTGCAGACAATTCACTTGCCAAAAGGACAAAAGAGCAGAGATTTTGGATCACCTGGATCAACTCCTCAGGGATCTCTTCAAAAGGCCGAACCTGTGATGTCGAAACCAAGCATCGGTGACAGAATCTTTTTTAATATTAGGCCATCTGTCGAAGATTTTCTAACAGTTTGCGAATCACTCTGACAGAGACGGCTAGTTCTGTGGGAACGAAAGGACAGGTTAAGTCAGACACGAGAGCCGAGGTGAAAGCATCGCTTCAATCCCACAAAGATCAAAAATCGTGGACAACTTCCTCGGAAAAGCAGGCTGTCCAAACGCAAAAGATTACTTGGATGGAATTTATGAGCGGATCGATTCTCGTCGAGTGTCAGCTTCGTTTCCAAGTGAATTTCGATTGGGAGTTCTTCGAAATTATTCACGAGGTATGCTGAGAAAATTTTCCTTCGCTTCCTGTTAATTGATATTTTATATTTTCGATTACAGGCTGAGTTGATGGAGCAATTAGGTTTCGAATTAATCCCCATAGTGAAAGATGCTAGTATCCAGAAAAGTCGACTAAAGAGCGACCTCGAACTGATGGAAAAAGTGATCGACCAGTACAACGGGATGATCGATGAAATGGACAAAGCTGATGTACAAAATAATACAGAAATATTCATATTCGTTACATTCAGTGAATCTGTCCCACTTAGTTAAAATATCCTGCTTAGGATTCTTTCGTATTTAAGGATATATTGAAATATATAGATTAAATATTTTAAATTGAATAAAGAAAAACAAAGATGGCACAAAGAAGATGATAAAATTCTGGTTTTCTTCGATTTTCGAAGTGATAGATAGGATTTTTTAACTAAGAAAGGCAGAAATGGTTTGCAAAAATCCACGAACGAATTATTTATCATCGCAGATACAATTATTGAGGAACACGTTACTAGATGTTGAGAAACATATTCAGCCTGGAGTAATGCGTTTTAATTGGAACTCTTTAAATATCTCTGACTACGCTCACGATTGTGAAAAATTATTGAAAAATCTAAACTCGATCGTGGATCAGGTGAATCACATGAAGAGCGATCTTGATAACAGAATAAATAACGATCTTCAGAGTTACAACCTCTTTTCTCTTCCGCTGAGAATCTACAACAGCGAAGAATTGTTACCTTGCAAGGTATTTTCTTATATTTCCTTTCATCTATTTTTCAAATCGTTCCCCTAGAATTTTATTCATCGCGCCCGATATTCCTCTCGGCACGAAACACTTTGCCATTCAAGCTACAAATAAAGTAAATAGGGAAGCGAAATATTGAAAACGTTTCTCTTTTTCCTATTTTTCGAAGGTTTATTTCCAAGAGATAGAAAATCGAAGAATCGAATTAATTGCCGCGATGTCCACGATATATCAGTCAACGAGTCCGATACTGATAAAATTGGAAAGTCTGGTATTGGAAACGTACACTGGAAAAAGCCCATCTATGCAGCTGCTTTACGAGAAATACGAAAAGAAAATATTTTGCTCTTTTATCGCGTAAGCCTTTGTAAACGATTCAACCGGTTTTTACTTGAAAGAACGAATTAAAATAGAAAATTATTTAAAGATAACTCGTTTCATCTTAATACAAAACAAAGTTACGTTCTTTATGTTATTTCTTCCTCGTAGTTCTTCTTTAATTCGTTGTTTCAGATTGCCGCTTCTTAGCTTTGCTTCGAATCAAATTTTCTCAATCTTGGTTATACGTATTAGGTTGTCCGAAAAGTTCCTTTCGCTTTATAAGCACGACATTTTTTGTTTTATGTCATTTTATTGAATTACGTTTGATCCATTTTATTCTATTACTATAAAATGGATCATACACAAATCCATAAAATAGTATAAAATAAAAAATGTCGTGTATCTATTATTTCACTTGTGAAACGAAAGAAACTTTCGGGACGATCTAATATATGACAATCACGACGTGGAACTCTCAATAGAAAATTAATTTCTTATCAATGAATAAAAATTATCTTAAAAATGGTTAACTAAGTTAATGGTACATTATCTTATAGAATAAATCACGAGAAACGATCCCATAACAATATTATAAATTGCGCAGATGTATACTGAAGAACATAGAGACTTTCAACAGAAGTCTAATGGAATGCAAGCCGATGTTTCAAGTGGACGCCATTTTAATAGCTTCAGAAGCTGTTATAAGACCATCTCCTGGCGAAATTTATGCTACAATACTACAGAACGTGAAGAATTTATTGGAGAAGCTGAAATTATTTCCTAGATGGATGAACGGGACCTGTTTAGAGTGCAAACCGCAAACGAAGAACGAGTACGAAAACTTCGCTACAGTGACATTCTTTGAGGACGTCATGAGTATTAAAGTAAGTTATTCGTAAAATTTAATCAATGGAATTTAATAGAATCAAACGAGATCAGAGCAGATAAAAATCCGATAAAGTAGAATCACTACAGATACTAAAAAATATAAATATAAATATTTAAGAACATAATGTCCCCTACATGATGTCATTTTTAAATTACAAACAATTCGATAATTTTCATTCGATTCGGTCTCCTCCAATAATTATATTCTCTACGATTATGATTGTTTACACTCTTGAAGTAATTGAGGAATACGCGGCAAAAGTACGATAAGCCGATTTTTGTTGATTCTCTGACTTCATAACCTTACAATTATGATTATACATTTGCGATTATCTATTTCACGGATTAAAATTTGCCAATGTATGAACTAACGTTTTTGTTGTTTATGTCGAGTGTATAATCTTGTGAATACGTCTGCGTAGGTAGTGAATGATAATATACTAATGGTTCAAAGGTCGGCGCATAAAATAGCGTTGGAAGCTTGGCACTATTTGCACAGGTGGAAGAAGTATAGTAATCTATGGTCTTTCGACAAGAACTTAGCTGCTGAAAAGTTCGCAGCAACCGAACCTACACTCCACCAATATGATGATAAGTTCTCTTTCTACGACAATATTCTCCAGGAATTGACTGAAATGGATCTTTATCACGATCTTTATTGCGTACGGTAATATCTGTCTCATAATAGATTACTTTAATTCTTAGAAAGTCAAAGGATAAATTCTCACACTAACTTGGTACGTTAGGAAAGATTTACTTTAGTATATTACGTATCTGTATTCTCTATATTTATGTAGATAAATTTCCAAAAAATGCGTACAGACACGAGCAATCTAATTAGATACATTAACGTACTTGACAATGATTTCTGTTAATTAGCATCAATCTCGGTTTCCTGCTTTCTGGTATCAAACAACACGCTAACGAATGGAAGCACGTTCTCGGTCATTTTCTGCTGCATCAAACGGTTCACGATATGAACAGCTTACATCTGATAATCGAAAATTACCGAAGCGAAGTGGAGCTCGTAATCACTGGATTAGATCGTTTCACATCTGTCATGCAAGCGATCTCCGACATAAAAAAGACAGCGATTCAAGCAGAAGTTCGTTATACGACCTATCAGGTTTGTTTTATAAAAGTGCCACTACAAAATTTCAAAATAGAAAGAAGCAGTAAAATTTGAATATGCGATTTGTTTCTGCCTTTGCATGCTAATTAGATTTCTGAAAAGTGTAAAAACAAATATATCCGAAGAAATAAGAGAATGGTCCCGAGTGTGATCTTATACTATCTGACTGGTGATTTTATAAAAATCATACTAAATGAAAATCGCGTAAGAACGAAACCGATTGTGTTATATTTTATGATCGTATTATATGAAATTTTCAGGAAACCTTTCGAACTTTGCGCAGTCACGGGATATCTTTCCCTGAGGAAGACGAACAATTGGCTTACACTCTGCAACGTGACTGGGAGTCTCTATATTTGGGCGCTTTATACAGAGCTTCCACTTTAGCAAGTACTTCTGATAGATTTTCTGACATGACGCAAGAGCAGATTAATGCATTCGTGAAAGAACTCGAAGAGTTCGCAGCAGACTTCGAGGCCAATGGCCCTGGCAGTGTCGGCGAGGATCTCGAACTTGGACTGCTCAAGATGGACGTGAGTTTCGTATTTTTCCTTTTTGTTCTTATCGACATCTTCTGTTTCGTATCAATTAAAAACAGAAAAGAAAGTAAATTTCATAGTACTACTAAATCGATACGATATTCTAATATTTTTCTTTTCTTTACGCTGTAAAACAGTCCGATCGTGTCATTTATAACTCAGATGTATATAAAATCTAAATTGCGTATTATTTTATTCGGAAGAGCTAACCAATAGAAAATTATTTAAAAATTATTTTATTGATGAAACTAATATATTTGACATAGACCGTTGAACGAAACTCTTTGCGCATCCAATTTTCATCGATTTGCACTCTTCTATTTTTAAATTTCTAAACTCGAATTGCCCAGGAATACGGAAAACTGATCGCAAAATACGAAGAACGACGTCTTAGCCTGATCAATTCGGAAATACTGTTCGATCTGCCAGCGACTGACTATTCGGTTTTCTTAAAAGTCAAAAAGGACTACGAGGGCATGGAATTATTATTCGAATTGTACCAGGAACAGAAAAGTATGAGGGACGTGTGGGCGCAGACGCTTTGGGTGAACCTGAATCCTCAACAGCTGATGGATGGGATGGACCATTTTATCAGGGAATTTCGCAAACTTTCGAGATTCGTGAAGAATCTCAGCGTTGGACAGGCCTTAGATGCGAATATGAAGAGCTTCAAGAACTCTGTGCCACTGTTCATCGAATTAAAGAACGAGGCGATGAGGGAGAGACACTGGAAGCAATTAATGGAGAAAACTGGACGATATTTCGATATGGACCCAGACAGGTGCGGTGGTGGTGAAAAATAAATGACAAAATTGTGGATGGACAAGTGTCAAATTTGTGCGAAATATTTATGATGCTTTCAAAGTGGATTCCTGCGTGCGTGCGTGCGTGCGTGCGTGCGTGCGTGTGTGTGTGTGTGTGTGTGTGTGTGTGTGTGTGTGTTTTAAGTTATTAAGTGTTTTTAGAGGAATTTAAAAATAGAAGGAAATTTTGGATCAGATAGATAAAATAGAAAATCAGACAGCTTTTGGCTCTTTTGTACATTTTTTAGAAAGAGATAGAAGGAAGGTTTTATAATTAGGTTTAGGAAATAGTTTAATATTAAGATCATTTTATATGATCAATCATAATTGTATTTTGAGTATCGTGTTATGTATTACAACTGTAGGATTAGAAGTATTATTCTGAAATTTGTGTGGTAAAGAAGCTTAAAGCGACGCTTAATTCGTTTCTTTGCAGAATTTTTGTTTTGCTAACTGTTCATAGTAACACAAGACCTAGTGTTTTTGTTAGAACATATGTGAATCTTTTAAAACATGGGGGAAAAAGAAATAGAGATACTGAAAGGGTGAGTTCATCCCCAATGACGTTCCGATCGAAGGGAATTTTTGATCACCGTTGGCTCATAATTTAAAATTTTAATTTGCATATTTACGTTTAAGATTCACTCTGAAGAACATGTTCGCTATGGAATTAGGAAAATACCAAGAGATAGCCAAAGAAATCGTGACGAATGCCGTGAAAGAGCTCGCTATAGAAAGAGGTTTAAAAGATTTGGCTGAAGTCTGGAAAAACATGGAATTTACTGTACTGAAACATTACAAAGGTACGTCTTGTAAATCTTTGCTTTCAATATTATAGCGAATGTTAGAAAATGTAAATAAAGTAAGGAAATTAAAAAAGAAAATTGAAAAAGAGATCGACATAAAATCGTGCTTTGTACGAAACTTCGAGGATAATATGAGGACTAAATTTGAATGAAGCGATACGAAATGCACGATTTTTAGGTACCGAGGATCGAGGATTCATTTTGGGACCAATAGACGAATTAAATCAGATTCTAGAAGACAACATGATGAACGTGAATGGCATGGCAGCCTCTCAATTCATCGGCCCTTTTCTCAGTACAGTGCAAAACTGGGAAGTCACGATGCACACGATCTCCGAAGTTATCGAATTATGGGTGCAACTGCAGAAAAAATGGCTATACCTCGAGGGCATTTTCGTAGGCGGTGACATAAGACTCCAATTGCCAGACGAAGCGAAGAAGTTCGACGAAATTGACAAATCTTTTAAGAAAATTATGACAGACACTTCGAAGAGGCTGAACGTTCTCCAATGTTGCATGATTAAAGGTGAAATTAGAGAAAATTGTTTTATTTGAATTGTTTTATGATTTTGAAACAAACTGCTTAGATTAATTGTAATTAGATTGTTTGGTTTGATAGAAAATTCTGCATACATAAATTATGCAAACGAATTAAAATTCTCAAGAAATTAAAATACATAATTTCAATGCTTTCGTCGATTTCGATCGATTACAATCACTTTATCAAAATAAGAACAACGCTTTAAAAAAATTAGTTTAAATAAATTATATCCGTGATCCAGGTCGACAAGAAGAGTTCGAATCGATGATTCTTGCACTGGACAAATGTCAGAAGTCGCTGACAAATTACTTGAACAGCAAACGAGCAGTTTTCCCGCGATTCACTTTCCTCAGTGACGACGATCTTCTGAGTATCCTTGGGAGCGGCGAACCCACCGCCATTCAAGAACACGTGGGCAAGATGTTCGATAATTTGGACAAATTCCGTTTCGAAATAAACAATACCGAACGCGTGATAGCCACTGGCTTGATCTCTTGCGAGAAAGAGGTGATGGACTTCAGAAACGTGGTTCTAGCCGAAGGAAAAATCGAAGAATGGATGGTGCTTGCATTGGAAGAGATGAAAAGATCGAACCGATTCTTGACGAAAAAGGCTATCTACGACTATGGGAAGGTGAGTCTACTTCAGCGAATTTACTACAGAAAATTAGGAATTTTTATACTTGTGCCAAGTTTGCTACAAGCTTTGGAAATACAACGCGTAGTAGAAATATCATTGTATCGAAAATATTTTCCTCTACTTGCCTGAAATTAAAACTAAGCTACAGTTATACAGTGGCTGCTTAAAGTATTTATACACCATTGTATTTATTATGGTATTCACGTACTAATTAATCGCATCCAAGTACATTAAACTCCGTATGATTTAGTGCTATCAATGTTACAAAATTATTGAAATCCACGAGGTGTACCATTTTCTATACAATTACCATACTGTAACGTCGATTTAAGAAAATCGAATGGAATTCTCCAGGTCAGAAGACCTAGGACAAAATGGATGCTAGACTTCCAAGGAATGATGATCCTAGCGGCTGATCAAATATGGTGGACAGCGGAGGTGGAGAACGTGTTCGAGAAAATGTCTCGAGGGCAGATGCGTGCGATGAAAGATGTACGTTTCTCTTTGAATTAAATTAATAAGGTTCCCGTATACGGAGGACTCGGATACATCGATCGTCTCGTTTACAGTATTTGAAGCAACTGAACAATCAACTAAACGAAGTGGTAACATTGATGGGTGGTGATACGCTGACGAACAATGATAGAAAGAAATTTGACATGGTGTTAACACTCGATGTTCATATGAGAGATATCGTGGAAGGTTTCGTCAGAGACAGTATCATGGATCCTTCGGAATTCGAGTGGGAAAGTCAATTAAGGTTCCTCCTTATTCGCTCCTATTTTTCTTATTTATTTTTATTCGTTATCTTTTCTATTTTATTTATTCCTATTAAGTACCAATTACGACGCTTAATATCTGTACAAATTTTTATCGCGTATCAGAAGTATAAATTTCTTGCAAAGGTTTTACTGGGTTCACGATCTGGATAATGTTTGGATGTACCAGTGCACCGGAACATTCGAATACGGCTACGAGTACATGGGACTCAATGGAAGACTCGTTGTTACACCTTTGACAGACAGAATATACTTGACCATCACACAAGCTCTCTCGATGCACCTGGGTGGAGCTCCTGCAGGTATAACGATTCACGCGATGAAATTAAGAGAAACGATAACATTAAGATTGGAAAATATAATTGAACGTTAATTAATTAATCATTAATAACTCAGAAAACAGAACTCAAAGTGAAAGACTTTGAAAAATTCTTTCAGATATATTCTAGAAGACACAGTGATTTCTAAAAGTATCTACTTACGAAATTATTTTTTAGCGGTTGTTAACAATCCTAATGTAACTTCTCAAATTTTTATTTCATAGATATAATTATTACTATTACTAACAGATTTAATCTTTTCTAGTAAGAATGGAGGATCAAGTACATATTGGTATTTACTTTAAAAAATACCCAGAACATAGATATTTTTTTATTTCTCCAGGTCCTGCTGGAACGGGAAAAACGGAGACCACGAAAGACTTGGCGAAGGCGTTAGGATTACTGTGCATCGTCACAAATTGCGGTGAAGGAATGGATTATGTGGCGATAGGAAACACACTGAGTGGCCTGGCACAGTGCGGAGTATGGGGTTGCTTTGACGAATTTAATCGCATCGATATTTCTGTCCTATCGGTTATCTCTACTCAGCTTCAAACTATACGCTCCGCTTTGATGGCAAAAGCATCAAGATTTATGGTAAGAAAATATAAAGGAACGATATTGCAAATTCTCCGAAACTTCTTATCAAGTATTTTAGGTATTTTAAAAAACTCGTTGTCTGCATCATTTATCTATCTTCTTACGTATAAATCGTATACAATAAATCATCTCATTCTCTCTAACGTATCAATATCAATTTAATTTTTTTTTAATTGAATTGTTTTTACTGTCGCTATGTTATGTCACTTTTGGAGATAAATCCAACGATACGTATGACAAGTACATTCGAACAATAATTTGTCTCGAATATTTCTATAAAAAATTGGTAACAAATAATAAGTTCGCCCGGTATCTTTTACTCGTGGCGCGTGTCCCACGACGCGAGAGATAAATCGAATTAAATTTATTGACTCGATATGCCCCTATTTACCGTAATGATTACCACGGTATGTAGATTAGCGCGTACATCAAACTCGATTAGTCACAGTCTAAAAATTTCATGACTATGTATTTCGATATTTATCACTATCCTTTCGTTGGCATCTCTCGTCATCAGTACCAATAAACCAAATTTACGTCTAATTAAATTTAACCACTCTCTGCGACCGCAGTTCGAGGGCCAAGACATAGTGCTCGACTCGAAAGTGGGCATATTCATCACAATGAATCCAGGGTACGCGGGTCGAACGGAACTTCCGGAATCGGTGAAAGCGCTGTTCAGGCCAGTGGTGTGCATAGTTCCGGATAACGAGCTGATTTGCCAGATAAAGCTGTTCAGCTCCGGCTTCTTGACCGCCAAAGTTCTAGCCAAGAAGATGACTGTTCTGTACAAATTGGCACGCGAACAACTGAGCAAGCAGAACCACTACGACTTCGGTCTGAGAGCACTCAAATCCGTGCTCAATATGGCCGGCCAATTGAAGAGGACTTCCGGTGACCTGGCTGAAGACGTGGTACTCATGAGGGCGCTTCGAGACATGAATTTGCCGAAATTTATATTCGACGACGTCCCATTGTTTCTGGGATTAATCGCTGACCTCTTCCCAAACCTCGACTGTCCGAGGGTTCATTATCCTGATTTTAACAACGCTGTTAATCAAGTACTGGAGGAGCAACGATATATTATCTTGTCTGAGCAGGTAGTATTTTTTACTTTCGAACAATTTCATTCGAAAAGCACACGAGTAAGAACAGTAATAAATTTATATTTGTCGATTTCATGATTTTACTATCGTTTGATGGCTAAAAGAGTATTTTACATAGTCGAACAAAGAAGACGATCTGCTATATGCAAAATTACGTTATGGTTTGAAAATAAAAAAAATTAAAGTTCTCGATATACAGGGTGGTTGGTAACTGGATTCTACGCGAAAAAAGAAGTGGAAAATATAGAATAAAAATTTTTCGTTCCAGGCTTTGTTTTCGAGAAAATCAATTTTGAATTTTCGCTTGGTACGCGTGCGGTACGTTATAACGGATCTCACTATAGATCGTTGTCTCGATGGAAAAATTAAAAAAAAAATTTTTATTCTATATTTTCGACTTCTTTTTTCGCGTAGAACACCCCCTTTCCGCTTGTACCACCAGTTACCAACCACCCTGTATATAGATATAGATATAAATCATTGGACACTTACAATCGCCTTCCTAAAAATTACCATGGAGCGTATTATTCCATCAGCATCGTAAATATTCCAATTGCGTAATATAGCGAATAACAAACATTCATGAAAGTGTCCCAACTGCACAGATTGACAAAGTGGTGCAACTATACGAAGTAATGATGACTAGACACTCGACAATGGTGGTTGGACCGACAGGAGGCGGGAAGACCGTCGTGATCGAAACTCTTTGCAAAGCTCAAACTCGTCTCGACAAACCTACCAAACTCTACATTTTAAATCCAAAGGTACTGCATCGCTATAATTAACTCCTCAATGCTCACAATCATAACACGAACACGTAATAGAAATATGCCATTTGTACGAGTCCGTGATATATTTAGGATCAAGATCGATACACCTGTCGTTTTATTTTCTACGTAATAAATGAAATTGTACTCAGGCGTGCACCGTGAACGAACTTTATGGTGTGTTGGATCCAGCGACACGCGATTGGACAGACGGTCTCCTAAGTTGTATTTTTCGGGAAGTGAACAGACCATTGAACTCGAACAAGGACGAGAAAAAATATATTTTGTTCGACGGTGACGTAGATCCACAATGGATCGAGAATATGAATTCCGTGATGGACGATAACAAATTATTGACTCTGGCCAATCAAGAAAGAATCAAGATGCAGAATCATTGTAGTCTACTGTTCGAGGTGATTCTAACTAAATCGGTCGATCGCGTGTTACTTTTACGTGACACGATTTAAATTAAATAGGATACAGAAAGAGAGAACTCGTTGGTCGCCTGAATAACGATTTTCACTGAAGTTTTTTTTTATAAAAGGTAGGCGACCTGCAGTACGCCTCGCCAGCTACTGTATCCAGAGCCGGCATGGTGTACGTAGACCCAAAAAACTTGGGTTATCAGCCTTACATGGACAAATGGATACGGAGCAAGAGCGAATCGGACCAGGAGCTACTGAACGGAATGTGCGAGAAATACGTGCACGGCGGGATAGCTCTCATTATAGAAGGAATGCTCGGGTTACAACAAGTTACACCGCTTAAGATGATCATACCACAAACCGGACTCAACATGGTAGCAATTAAACTTTTATACGCTAATTAATTCGTCCTTTTATGTGAATGCAGAATGTCGAAAAAGAAACTGCGATCTAGCCATTTGTAACTTATCAGAGAAAGAATTTGTACGATTCAAGATCGAGCATTAATGGACTTTAATCGAATGTTACGATTAATATGGAAAAAGAAAGAAAATTTGGATCGCAAGATTTAGGAGATGTAGTATTGGAAAATGACGAATAGAATCGAAGAATCGTTCCGAATAATTTCAAAAAATTTAACTAAAAATTTGCTACAATTTCCTAATTCTCTATCCAAAAGTTTCCTATCCTATCTGGTTCACGTTGACAATATATAATTTTTTCGCTTGATTACTTTAAATTATGGCAAAAATCAAGTATAGAATTACTAGTGAACGTCTTTCGTTCAGGTAATACAACTTTGTTACGTATTCGACGGTCTGCTCGCTATTCTGGATACTCGACCAACTCCTACTACCAAGACCGAGGAAGAGGAAGAAATAAGGGCAGAAGCGTTATTCTCCAGAGGGGAAATTCTCGAGGCGATGTACATTCAAGCTTGCTACTGGTCCTTAGGAGCCTCCCTGGTGACTGAAAACAGGCCTGACTTTGACGATTACATAAAGAAAACTTCTGGATTTATGCTTGTCCAAGATACCGTTGAAAAACGAGCTACTGTGCGTGAGTTTCGCAAACTAACGATATTTTTATTTCTATACATATGCATCGTCAGCCAGTCGATTTGTGTTCAAATTCCTGGCAATTTGTTTGAAACTATGAAAAACGAACAGAGAACTCATTGGACAATCTAAGACACGTTGAACTCGATGCCATCGTAATTTATCATCTTTTTCGTTGAACTAAAATAAATAAACACAAAATGAATAAATTCTCGAATTATCACCAGGATACATACCCGTGACGGAGAAATTGTTGTACGATTATTTCTTGGATTTGGAAAGGAATATATGGATCCCATGGAGAGCTCTGGTCCCTAATTATGTCCATGACAGGGAGAAAAATTTCTCCGATATTTTGGTTCCCACCATAGACACTCTAAGAACTACGTGGTTCGTTAACATGATGAACGAACGAGATCGGCCAGCTCTTTTAGTTGGCGAAACTGGTACTTCGAAAACCGCTATAATTCAAGAATTTCTTCGAAATCTGAGCATCGAGAAATACGTAAGTTTTAGTATATACGTGGAATTTAAAAACGAATAAAAAAAATCGGCAGAAAATTAATCAATTTAACACGAAAGAAACAATATAGAGAAAAGAAGAAATTTATCGTGAAAAATCCAATATCAAGTATACATATATTGCCTCATCGTTTCACTTCTCCGATCTCTGATGCTATTTCCATTAGAATCAACTTCTCATCAATTTCTCATCGAGGACAACTTCGATGGACGTGCAAAAAAATATAGAGGCTGTTGTGGAGAAGAGAACGAGGGAAACTTATGGACCACCTCCTGGTAAAAAGTTGTTACTCTTCATCGATGACATGAATATGCCACTGGTGGACACTTATGGTACCCAGCAACCTATCGCGCTTCTCAAGTTTTTGTTCGAAAAGGGTGGATTTTACGATCGTGGAAAGGACCTTTCTCTAATGTACATGAAAGATATGTGTAAGTTGATTTACCGAGTTTTCTCTATCAACATTATATCGATTTAAAATTCGGATTACGAAGGGTTTATTATTTTACAAGGTTATTTAGCGGCTATGGGAAAGCCTGGTGGAGGAAGGAACGAAGTGGATCCAAGATTCATCTCCATGTTCTCCGTCTATAACGTTATATTTCCAGCAAATGAGACGCTTTGTTACATTTATACAAGCATACTGAGCGGACACTTGCAAACATTTTCAGAGGAAGTGCAATCAATTGCGGAAACCCTGGTGCAAATTACTCTGGACCTCTATCAGGTATTTCTCCTTTAACGAAAGACCGACTTACTCTGTTCCTTTCTCGATTCTTAAAATTTAACCAGACATAATTTCTCACTTTTCTATTTCTTCAGAAAGTTACTGCGGAATTATTACCCACACCGAATAAATTCCATTACATTTTTAATATGCGAGATTTGTCGAGAATTACGGCTGGACTTCTTCAAAGCCATCCTGATTATCTTCCAAAAGTGAAACAGATCGTTAGACTTTGGAGGAACGAGTTCGCCAGAATTATATGCGATCGTTTGATAAACGAAGACGTAAGTAATAGAGGAAAGAAAGGAAATCTTTGTATGCAAATTAGAATTCGATCGTAGGACGAGAGTATCGTAGCTACATACGTGAAAGAGAAGATCGAAGAACGTTGGGAGGAAGAGCCTGACGTTATCAAATATGTAATGAGGGATCCTCTGCTATTTGGTGATTTTAGAAACGCGATTAACGAGGGGGAACCACGATTCTACGAAGATTTATTGGACTACGAGGCTGTCTACAGTTTGTTCCTAGAGGTAATTAACATTCCTTGATAGAAAACAAAAATTTCCATCACTTACTGTCATTTGGGCGAAACCAGATACAAAAAAAGCTTTATAAAGCATTTTTTGCTTACGCTTTCGCAGAAAATCACCTCGTTTTTCGGTCGTACTATTACTTCCACTTCACCTTGTATTAAACTATTTTCCACAAAATTGACTTTTCAGATCTACGAAGATTATAACGAGAGAAGCGCGACCACGTTGCAAATGGTCCTCTTCAACGATGCGCTCCAGCACTTGACTAGAGTTCACCGTGCATTCAGAATGCACAGAGGGCACGTTTTGGTGATTGGCATCGGTGGAAGTGGGAAGAAATCGGTGATCAAATTAGCAGCTTACGCAGCCAACTTCCAAATTTTCGAAATTAGTCTATCTCGAGGCTACAACGAAGCTTCTTTTCGCGATGATATGAAAACACTGTACAACAAGGTTGGCGTGGACAATCAGAGAATCGTGTTTTTATTTACATCTGCTCATGTCATCGACGAAAGTTTTCTGGAGTTGGTAAACAATATGTTGATGACCGGTGTCGTACCAGCGTTGTTCACCGACGAAGACAAGGACGAAATCGTCAATTCTTGCAGAAATCAGGCTGTAGATGCTGGCTTCGGTGTAACCAGGTTCGCTTACAGTTTTTCCAGTCGAATTCGTTGGGCGAGAAAATTTATGGAACAGAGATTAATACGAAAAGAACGAAATAGTTTCGTATTAATTACTTTAACTCCTCGATCGTGAAAAGACAAATAACAGAGGTATTCTTGCTGTGCTTCAGAGAAAGTGTATGGTCATATTTCGTGAAAACCAGCCTTCAAAATTTACGGATAGCGTTGTCGATGAGTCCATCGGGAGATTTATTAAGGACAAGATGTCGAAGTTATCCTGGTCTGGTGAACAGTACCACCATAGACTGGATGTTCCCTTGGCCTGAACAGGCTTTAGTTTCCGTGGCTAATGTCACTCTTAGAGACGTATGTAATTGTTTGGTCAATTTTGAACGACCCAATTCGAAAGATCTTTTATTCATAAATGCAAAACAATCCACAGTAATATCTAGAACGTATGAATTGTACAATTTTTTTCAGCATCCAAACGTATCACAAACTCACAGAGATGCCCTAGTAGAACATATGGTGTTCACTCATAGGACAGTCTGCGACTACACGGTGGAATTTCAAACGATACTACGAAGAAGAAATTACGTGACTCCCAAACACTACTTAGATTTTATAAACAATTATCTGTATCTGTTGGTAGAAACGAGGGATTACATAAATTCACAATGTGATCGACTTTCCGGAGGTTCGTAGCAAAGGCTTTCAACCTTTGCACCGCGTTTATTATCTATTCGCTGAAGAATTAAAAATTAAAAATCGACGCTGAGAATAGTCGGAGAAATTAATTGATCGCAATTACATCGTAAAGTATCTTCAAGGGAATATTCTAATAAAATGTGAAATCGTATTATTTTGAATTTTAAAGGTCTGCAGAAGATCGCGGAGGCCTCGGTGACTTTGAACGAGTTAAATCAAATTCTGGCCGTGCAAAGGGTAAAAGTAGCTGATCAGACGAGAAACTGCGAGCGACTATTGGCTTCCATAGGAGAAAGTACGAATATCGCGATGGAAAAGAAACAGCTGAGCGAGCAGGAAAGACAATCGATAGAACAACAGAGGAAGATTATCGACAAGGAGGAAACGGAAGCTAAACAGGCATTGGCTGACGCGCAACCTGCCTTAGATGCAGCCAGAGCGGCCCTTGGGGAACTCGAGAAAGCAGACATTACTGAAATAAGGTTTGTGTTAACTTTTCTTTCTGTTTTGCAAATATATAAAAAATATATATAAAAAAGATATAACAGAAATTTAATTTTTTGCACTGTTGGAAAAACATTAGAGAAACTTGAGTAAACGTCGTTACTAACTTTAATTTCCCTTGGGAAAACACAGCTCTCGAATAAAATTTCTAGCAGAAATTCATTTCCTTGGAACATCGAAATAAATATAGAAACATGTGAAAAATATTAAACGCGTAAAAAATGTAAAAAATATTAAAAATATTTTTAGATCGTTTGCAACTCCGCCGGAACCTGTGCAAATCGTCTCGGAATGCGTGGCGATGCTGCGAGGCATAAAGGACATTTCTTGGAAAGGCGCAAAAGGAATGATGAGCGACCCAGCATTTCTGCGACAATTGCAAGAGATGAACTGCGATAAAATCACGTTGAAACAACAACAAGCAGTCAAAGCTCATTTAAAGAAAACTACTAAATTGGATCAAATGCAGCATATCAGCAAGGCTGGGTACGGATTGTACAGATTCGTACTCGCTGTGCTAGATTATTGTGCCGTTTTCAGAGAGGTACGATATTTAAATTTCAACGTGTTGTAGGAGCGAGATAAATTTCTCTAATTCGTAATTCTAACAAAGCACAGTTGAAACGCGAAATTTTGAGAAAAGGAAAGCTGTAAATTAGAATGAACAAGCGAAATAAATGTCTGAAACTCGCAACTTTAATGAAACACAGTTAATATCCAAAGTTCCAAATTTGAATAGAACGAAGTAAAGTAAAAGTGAAAATTTCATCTCAACGTTGAATTCGTCGTATTTCCTCAGGTGAAACCAAAGATAGAACGCGTTAAGGAATTGGAAGCTGAATCGGAACGAGCACGAAAGGCCTTGGAAAGGGAAGAACGAGAATTAAGGAGGCTCGAGAGAGCCATTGCCGATTTGAATACAAAATATGAGAATGCTATGGAAGAAAGACAAAAATTGCAAGAAGAGACAGACTTGCTTCAGAGGCGTTTAATAGCTGCTGATAAATTAATTAGCGGATTGTCTTCTGAAAATGAACGATGGAAGAAAGATTTGGAGACGCTGCATGGTCAAATAGAGAAAATTACTGGCAATTGTTTGCTTTCCGCTGGATTTCTTGCATATTGTGGACCATTTTCTTACGAGTATAGGAATCAGATGGTATACGACGACTGGTGGAACAGTATAGTGCAAAAAGGAATTCCATTCACGGATACGTTCAAGATTCAGACGGAATTAAGCAGCGACGTTGAAATTAGCACGTTAGCAAGATACTTTTATTCTGCCTTTTTGCTATTTTTTATTCCACTCTTTTCTCCCGTCTTTGTATTTTCATAAATAATAAAAAAGTTCATTAGACGATTTATTTAAGATGGACATCCGAAGGCCTACCACCTGATGAACTATCCGTGCAAAATGGAATTCTAACTACGAGAGCATCGAGATTCCCAGTTTGCATCGATCCTCAGCAACAAGCTCTGAACTGGATCAAAAAGAAAGAACAGAAGAGGAATTTAAAGATCCTATCGTTCACTGATTCAGACTTTTTGAAGCAAGTGGAACTTGCAATAAAATACGGTCTCCCAGTTCTATTTCAGGACGTCGATGAAATTGATCCTGTTTTAGATAACGTCCTATCGAAGAACATACAAAGTATTTCATGTGTATTTTATGTTTAGAAATAAATGGACATGGGAGATAAAATTTTATTGCAGATGTGGGAGGTAGAATGTTCGTGCTCCTCGGTGATAAGGAAGTGGATTATGATCCGAAATTCAGGATGTACCTCACTACGAAGATATCGAATCCCATATTCGATCCTGCTGTATATGCCAAGACCACCGTGATCAATTACATGGTGACCCTAGGGGTTCGTTCTGAAAATTTTTCTTTCATTTTCATTCCATCCATCTTAAATTAAAGCGAAACGATAGTTCGGATAGCTTAGAAAAATCTCTTTTCAAAAGACTAGTAGAATGTCTAATAAAAAAAGAACCTTTGCTGAAGAGAGTGCGAAATGAAACGATGGTTACCACGATTTAAAAGAATCTCTGCTAAAAAACAAATATCTGACTACTAAGCAATTGTACGTACAAAAATAAAAGAATTAAAGAAATGAAACTATCAAATTCTAGGGACTGGAGGATCAACTACTATCAGTGGTCGTTCGAACAGAGAGACCAGACATCGAGGAACAACGAGAAAACTTGATCATCGAGACCAGCGAGAACAAGAACCTCCTGAAACAGTTAGAAGACAGTTTACTTCTCGAAATTGCTACGAATAAAGGCAATATGTTAGATAACATCGAGCTGATCGAAACTTTGGAAAGCACGAAATCTAGCGCCGCAGAAGTAATGAGGAAGTTATATCTAGCTGAAGTGACAGCTTCTGACGTGAACAAGCTCCGAGATGGATATCGATCAGTGGCAAAAAGAGGAGCGTTATTGTTCTTCGTTTTGGCCGACATGGCCATGGTAAATCCGATGTATCAGTATTCTCTGATCAGCTACGTGGAGGTGTTCACTTATTCGCTGAGGAAAGCACTGCCGGATCCAACGTTACAACGTCGTCTGCAGAATATTATCCCAATGCTGACGAAGAACGTGTACGACTATGGTTGCACGGGAATTTTCGAAAGGCATAAATTATTGTTCTCGTTTCAAATTTGCACGAAATTGGAGCAAAGTATAGGGAACGTCAGTCAACGGGAATTGGACTTCTTCATTAAAGGAAGTATCACTTTGGAAAAATCGCCAAAAATTAATCCTACGGAATGGTTACCAGCTGCTGGGTGGGCTGATTTGTTGAAACTGAGTAACGATTTTCCACACAAGTTTGCAAACATTGCGGACGAACTGGCTTCACACGCGGATGAGTGGCAAGCTGTAAGTGGCGAGCAAACTTGTTTCTTCGAACGTTTATTCTTATAATTTTCATTGAGTCATTCGACAGAATCGTACAAATTCTCAGATTAATTAATACCGCGTTGCTACTAAATATGAAAATTTCAATATTACCAATTGATTTCAGACGCAATAAACTTAGTGTTACCATTTTAAAGAACATGCAGGTATTAAATAAAAATCTTTCAGTGGTACGACTTGGACGCCCCAGAGGCTCTGGATTTTCCTCTGGGCTACTCCGCCAAATTAAAACCCTTCGAGAAGCTTATGCTGATACGCTGTTTCCGCGTCGATCGAGTTTATCGCAGTGTGATCGATTACATCAGCGAGATTATGGGAGAAGAATACATCACACCCCCACATATTAGTCTCGAATTAATCTTGGAACAAAGCACGCCTACAATGCCTGTTATTTTCATTCTAAGTCCTGGATCTGATCCTTCCTCGGAACTAATGAAACTGGCAGACAAACACGGTTGTGGAGGCGGAAGATTCAAATATTTGTCCCTTGGACAGGGCCAGGAGAAGGTAGATTATTTAATTTGTTAATTATTTAACTGACCCCTGTAGGACCGAAGTTCTTTAGACTTTGAGAAAAATTGATGCATACTTTCTTCAATTTGACGTTTCAGACTGCGATAGAGTTGTTAGAAGTTGCAGTGTCTAGAGGGCAATGGTTAATGTTACAAAATTGCCATTTACTGTTAAGTTTCACCAAAGAACTAGAGAAACTGTTGGACGAGGTTGGAAAGCCTCATCCCGATTTCCGGTTGTGGCTCACGACTGATCCGACTCCCACTTTTCCTATCGGAATATTGCAGCAATCTTTGAAAGGTTATTTCAGAGTAAACAAATTCCTCGCCATTTCTTCCTTTCAATAAGCTTTTATGAAATACTGTTCAATTTCTGTTTTTAGTGGTCACGGAGCCACCTAGTGGATTGAAATTAAATCTCCAGAATACTTATTTAAAAATCAGACCTCGAATGCTTGAAAGTTGTGCACATCCTGCCTACAAACATTTAATTTACGTATTAGCTTTCTATCACGCGGTTATTCAAGTGAGTCAGGCCAGAATTAACCCAAGTATTGCTTAACCGAGTAAGAGCGAAGTCTCGTATATTACGATGAATTGACTGTTTGATTACGCCCGGTAGGAGAGAAGGAGATACGACAAGATTGGCTGGAATATAAATTACGATTTCAATGAATCGGATTTCAATGTATGCTGTATTATTCTGGATACTTATTTGACCAAGGCGTTCACAGCGAAAGATCCCAGGCTCCCTTGGAACAGCTTGAAATATTTAATAGGAGAAGTATGTTTTATGCATGACTAGCCATAGCTTTGTCTTTTACGATATTTAAGAAAGGTAGTTTAGTTTTAAACGAGATTATCTTGTTTTATCACCTGTCGTAAAATATTCCGAATATGACACGGATTTTCAAACTTTTCGAGTTAAAGAATCTGCAGTTCTTAGATATTTGCCGAACCTTGAAACATTTCACAATTTTAAATAGAACTTCTTCCTCTTTACAACTTCTCAATGATTAAATTCAAAACTTCGAATTTTATTCGAATTCAGGTAACTGTCTAAGAGAAGCTCTACTCTAAACATCTATTTTTCCAATCTTCAGCTAAGAAATTCTAAATTTTACGAAACTTAGGTAATGTACGGTGGACGAGTGATAGACAGCTACGATCGTCGAGTATCCGAAACCTACATGGACGAATACTTCGGAGATTTCCTTTTCGACAGCTTTCAACCCTTCCACTTCTATCACGACGAGGAAGTCGATTACGTGATCCCTCCGGTAGGCGAATTAGAAGATTATCTCGAGTTCATCGAGGGATTACCTCTGGTGAACAGTCCAGATGTCTTTGGACTGCACCCAAATGCCGAAATTGGCTACTTCACTCAAGCTGCGAAAGAAATGTGGAATAATCTTATAGAGCTGCAACCGCAAACTGGTAAGCACGTAACCAAGGTAGTTTGATAATGATAATTTGTCGTCTGAATAATTAGAGAGTTCATAACAAAAGCAAGCTTTGTCATTTTTTCTTTTTTTTTTTTTTTTTCGAGCGAGCAAAAGAATATTGTAGATGTCTCGAACAATCCTACTTTATGTTACAATGTAAATTACCTGTACATCGTAGAGCAGAATCGTGTAATTGTAGATCTTTCGATTAAGATAAATTTTTGTACGAGCTACGTTCGAGTTGGATTAATATTATAAAATTGAAAAATTTCACGAGCTTTCGTTCGAAATTGTCCAATTCTCCAAATTTATCGTTCTGATATCGTGCTATAAAAATGTATTTCTCTCTAGTACGCCTGGATAAAAGGAGTAAGTTTTTTCTACGAATAACTGTCTACGAATAATTCTCTTTTTGTCCGAATTACTAGAAACATTGTTTTATTATTTAGAAGTCAGTGGAGTTGGAATAAGTAAAGATGAATTTATTGACAACATTGCGCAAGACATATTGAATAAAGTTCCTGTCGAGTATGATCTCGTTAAAGTGAGGAAACATTTTGGTCCAACGATAACTCCAACCACGATTGTTCTTTTCCAAGAATTGGAGAGATTTAATACGTTGATTAGAGTAATGAAGAGGACATTAACGCAGTTGAGAAAGGTCTATACTTCCTTCCCTCTCGTACAAGCGTAGATCAACTTTCAACATTTCAAAGCTTCCACGAGTGCACGACTTTATTGATTTCCGAAATAAAAGAGACGCGCTAGAGTGAAATTTCTCCTGTGATAGGCTAAATGTGATTTACTTTGATAATCTTTTAAGGATTGCATATTTTTATCAGATATATTTATATACCGTTAGGCTATCGCCGGAGAAATTGGAATGGACACGACCCTGGAAAATATATCCGCGGCATTATACAATGGCGTATTGCCGCAAGAATGGGCCATACTAGCGCCAGACACGAGGAAAAATCTTGGTGGATGGATCGAACATTTCGAGAAGAGGATACAACAGTACACTAATTGGGTGAGATATTACAGTCAGCACAGATTTCACGATTTATTGATTTATCAGAAACATTGAAAATTATCTTCTTCTTCTTCGTTAAATATAGAGTCAAAAATAAAATTCGCTTGGTAGAAGATTTCAACATTTAATAAAATATTGAAATCTTGTATCAAAGTTAGAGGAACCGTTCCTAATAGATTTTTCCAAAATTCTTAGTCTTCGACGAGCGAGCCTATAGTTCTCTGGTTAGCCGGACTACACATCCCGGAAACTTATTTAGCAGCTCTCGTGCAAATGGCTTGCCGGAGAAATAGTTGGTCTTTGGATCGTTCTCTCACGTACACAGCAGTATCGAAGTTTACAAGACCTGAGAAAGTAGAGGAAAGACCCGACCAGGTAACCAATAATTCATCATACATCACCATCTTGATTTCAAAAGTTGAACGAATAGAAATACAGACAGACAAGCGTTTATAAGCATTCCGATTGATATTTTGATTGATTTATAGTAATGGTATTTGAATTTTGTCAAACTATACAGATAAATAATAATTAAATACCGTAGGGTTGTTACGTGAGTGGATTATATTTGGAAGGGGCTAGATGGGATCTACAAGAGCAATGTCTTAAAAGATCACATCCAAAAATTCTGATAGAAGAATTACCAATTCTCATCATCATTCCAGTAGAAGCTCATAGACTCAGACTTCAGGTAATGAAATGATTTTAATTTGCGTAAAATTGATTGAAATTGTTTAAATAATTAATATGTAATTTCGTGAATTATAGAATACTTTCAGAACGCCAGTGTACACTACGTCTAATCGAAGGAACGCTATGGGAGTAGGTCTGGTTTTCGAGGCAAACCTCGCCACCACGGAACACATATCTCACTGGGTATTGCAAGGAGTTTGTTTAGTGTTAAATACCGATTAAATGGCTAAGAATTATATACGATTACAGTAATAATTATTATTTTATAAGAAACGCTATATACAAAGACATCCCATGTACAGTAAATATCTTTATAAATATATTAAAAGAAATCTTCCCAAAAATATCAACCATCACATTATATTTATGTAACTTTGTAATATTTTCTTTCTTATTTAAAATATCCCATACACCAATTTTTTTCACAAAGATAATCCTTCGATAGAATTAAAATAGGCGATAAATAATTATGGAAAATGCAGATGTATTTACATATATATACAGTATACTATTTATTGTATCCACTTATGAACTTGATCTGAGGTAAACAGAGATTGTAAAAGGAGCTGCCGATGAAATCATCCAAACGTTGCCATTTCACCCAACGATAATTCTCTAATTGTTCTGTTCCTGTTGCTCGGCCAACGAAATGCGGATCCACGATTAACAAATAGGTGTTGTTTGCACCCTCGTGGATTCCTACAACGCACTTACTTGAACAATCCCTATCTCCTCCCATCATGATTGGACTACCGAATTCCTCGAAGTGACCCTTGATAACTGGAACTTGGTCCCGCAAGGCTCTACCATTTGGAACATGCACGATTTTACTGAGAACCTCGTACAAGTGATTCAATACAAGGCATACCTATAAGATAACTGAAATTAGCTTGTTTACTTCTATTTTTGGCAAAAGAGTAGATACTGCTTATCGGCCGTATCGCTAATGAACATATGGACATAAATGTTAAAAATGAAGTTTTCGGAAATTGTGTTTAGAACAGTTTAGTTAGCTGCAGAGTATATCAGAAATCGTGGTACGAACAAAAAGAAGATATTTTCCTGCAAGTACGGGTGAAAGATCTATCAAATTAGTATTATCTTTTCAGCTGTTTCTTATAAATAAAAGGTAAGTCAAGTGCGCTTGTATCACTTGATGAATATTCAGTAGGAATAAAAAAATGTTTTTCAGTGGAATGAATAAATTTGTATCTAATACAATTTCTAAATATAAAAATTCGAATTACTTCTGCAAGGAAAATCAATGCCTCTCTTATTTCATTTCATCAGGATTTATGATACAGGCTGTATAATTATTATATATATAATTATTCTGTATAATAATTATTCTTGCAAGATATCTTTTCGGTAATTCTTCGCACATAGGCTTACTTCGAAACTCCCTATCCACTCCCTCGATCCAATAAATGATTGTTCCTTATCATCCAGCGTGACGAGTGCTTCCTGTATACGTCTGATATTTGGGACGGATTGGTCCAAGTTCCGATTCCTTATAACCCACGAGCATATTGTTTGCAGAGTTCTATATCCACATCCCCAACCCTAAATTCAATATTTCATCGTTTTTCTCTCTTCTCCATTGATATTCTCCCCCAAAAATAAGTTCAAATTACAGACCTTATCGTTAAAACCATCGCAACCATAGTGCCAATACTCGTAATCCCCTTGAACGAAAAAACTTTGACCGACTTCCGGCGCAGGGATATCACGATGAACGTTTCTCAATAAGTCGCTCGAATAATCGACGGTCATCGTTATCTCACGAAAATCATTGGACAATTACCCGTTTCGTTCCATCCAACGAGCCACGTAAAGCCACTCTACTTTCGCGTCTGTCGTAACCGCTTCGAAAAATCCTTAAACAGACCGTGGTTCGTACGGAATGGTAAATAGAGCGCGAAGCTTCGTATTTCCCGGTTCAGCAGTAATTCGCGGCCATTCCGTGTATTTTTCCTCCAACAACCTAACCTATCCAACTAACTTGCTCACCGTACCGTCATCGTTGCAATAATGATTCAGTGAAAGCGACTGACGATCGAGAAAACCTTTCGTAATCTACGATCTACGCGTCCGCATCGTCGTTCGAAAGTCGTTGTTTCACGAGCAGAAGAGGAAGCGCTGCCTTTATGATAGGCGTTAAATCGTGGCGTCACCTGCGAATACCTTCTCTCGTTTCTCGTCTACTATCGTCGTTCTCCTCGTATAAACGTATATTTGATACGGACGTGAAATCACGTACTACGCGGTCACGCGCACTTCGTTACGCGTTCCTCTTACTGGTTATCAAATATACGGTTCTTGGTTGCTCCGTGTGGCGTTACTGCGAGCGAAAAAAAGAGAGGGACAGAGTGATCGGCGTGAAGCTGACTGATAGAATGGACACTGGGATTTCATAGCAAAATGCCAATCAGACCAGACGACTGTGTGTGGATAAGACAAACGGATAAATAAGTGCGGTAGCAGCGTAAAATAACTGCGCGAAATTATACACGCCGAACAACAATTCGAAACTGTGCGGTGCTAGGGGCGAGTTATAGTTTACCTCCGGAGAAGATGAGAGCGATAATATTATGCACCTAATGGGTAAGTCGCGTAAATCTTGCCCGTGAACCTTATTCAATTAGCGGTAATCTATCCGAATGTAATTTCTTGATTTTATACGCGGTGGCATCGTGTCAATTTGACAGGTACACAATAGACTTACCGTTTATCGATTTTCCGCTGATTAAACAATAAGAAAGAGCATTTATTTCGCGGGAACAGTTTCGGGGTTAGTTCAATGTTTATATGTCGTTATTTTGGTCGGTCATCGGTTTCTAGCAGGTTCGAAGGTCATCACTTGGGAATATTGCCAAGTATTTTAGGTTATGTTTATTATGTCACCTTAATTAGCAAGCAATGCTTCAGAAAAGTTAGTTCGAATGCTTTAATGAGATAGATAGGAATTTCTAATTTATACCTTCTTTTCGATTGAATAAACATACGATTTCGTAAACGCGATGTTCTTTTACGTTGTAGACGTTGCTTGTTGTACTTTACATTAGGATGACACATACTGTCACTTTTTTGTTTACCAGTGTAAAGTTGAGAGATGATTCAGATATAAAGTTTGTAACAAAACGACAAATATGTATGGTGCAGTGCGCGAAGAGGTCTCTGAAAGTTGGTTACACACGTATGATCTGAGCAGTACAATGATTCCTAATGTTAGTTCACCAATGGATGATGAGGAGCATTTTTGCAAGATGATCCTGTATAAAGAAATCAAAGATTCAAGGTAAGTATTAATTTAGAGATATTTTTACAGATCTCCTGTACCAATTTATTTTTTGTTTTCCAGAGTACGAATATGGGACATTGTCATATTGATACCAAACCTCTTGTTTCTTTTATTTATCACAGTGAGATTTAATAGAGCACGGCTTAAATTACGAGCAACGAGTAGTCCAATATTTTTAGCATTTTATGGACTTGTCATTTGTAATGTAGTGATTTCAGTGATAAGATGTATCGTTTCAATGACTGTAAATGCAGCAGCCACCGTTGGTGGCAAAGCAGACAAAATACTGTGGGTAACAGTGAGATTTTTCCTGTTGTCCACAGAGATGAGCGTGGTTATATTTGGTTTGGCTTTTGGTGAGTTGATTTTGCTTTTATTATTTAAGATTGCTTATTTAAAAAACTCCAAATACATAACTATTTATTTGTAGGACATTTGGATAGTCGCTCAAGTATTCGTAGGGTATTACTTGCCACGTCATTTATAGCATTGGCTTTTACCATAACCCAAGGAACCTTGGAGCTAGTTTTACCAGATGATACATTCCATATCCCTAGTAGAGATTTTTATGTGTTTGGTCATGGGGGAATGATGTTTTGGTTTTGCAGCAGTCTTGTTTTCACAATGGTAAATCTATAATGAAATAAGCATCGATGCATAATCACTGCGAACAATCCTAGTTATTATTACGATCTTGTTACAGATATATCTTTTTATATTAATACTGCCATGGACACGGTTACGAGACCGTTTAACCCTTCCAAGTACGTTGATCAACCTCATCATATTCAGTGCTTCATACGTATCTATATGTCACAAAGTATCTTTTTTTTGCAGCAAAAAAAAGTTTTTACATTTATGCTGGTACGTTAGCTATGCTCGACTTAGTACAATCAATTGGTGCAGGCTTTCTAAACTACACACAAAATCCGGTAGGATTATGCGTCGTGGATTTCACTGCTGCAGTTTATTTGACACTTTTTACACCTTTGGTTTATCATACATTCCTGTCTGAATTTTTTGGGTAAGTTACTACGTATGTTCAAAAATAATTTAATATCCAAGAAATTGCGGACAGGGACAAATGAAAAATTTTGTTACAGAGTTTCACAACCTTCGATAATGTTTTCATACAAGGCACAAGTAGACGATGCAATGGATGAAGACACGGTGTCGTTGCCGCATCAACAGAGCTTCTCCTCGTTAAAAACAGACAGCGATTATATTTATCAGGTCCATACTCCATCTATTCACATGCCCTTGTATGGTTCGCAAGTGTTAAAATCATCCAGCTCAAAACATGAAACCTCCCTGCACTCCTTAGCATCCACCAAAGACTCCAGAAGTGGTAGCGGACGTATCTACGATTCCCCAGCCGCTTTATATCGATCCACATCCGGCATCAAAAGCTTTTCCAGACGCCTGAGCACAGAAAAAAGCACTTCCGACCTCAAGAACTATCCCCTAACGAAATCCGACAATTTTATCGATTCCAAAAAGAGCTCGCTAGACCTAAAGTTGACTCACCATACTTGGGAGAGCAGATCTACGTCACAATTCAAGTACGGTGGGCCTAGTAGCGTCTCAAATTTGCTTTTCGCGCCAAACACCGCTAGCAGCTTCTTGTATAAACCCCGGTTAAACGATAGCAATACTAATTTATTCTCCTTAACGAGAAAGGGTAGCTTGACGCACGAACGACAGAGATGTGAAAGTAACGTATCCAGCCAATTTTTTGAAATTCCACCGCTAGAAAATACGTTGCAATCCATTTTGGATAGCAGTACGCCTCATCAAGAGTCTTTGACGAAAGGCAATACTACTGCGCAAGATTTGCAAAATATACAAAAGAGAGAACCGACTCCTTTGAAGCAGTACACTGGCACTGCAATGTCTGAAGTCGATGTTGAAGACACATTGTCTGATTCAGCAGATACTTCAACCGTCACGCAACATTTATTATCTAAACCTGTTTCCTCAACAAGCGAAGAGGTATACGAAAAACAAAGGAAGCAAAATACAAAGAAAAAGGAGTCTGGTGGACTGAGTGATTATTTATTATCTCTGACAACTTCGAACACTCAGAACAACGAGAAAAATATCGAAGTAAATCCTAGTCTTTCTCCCCCCCATTACACTAAATCTTATATGCAGAATGAATTGCTGTAAATATTTGTTTTAATAATCGGTGTAAAGTCTAAGTCACTAGTTTTATATAAGAGAATCTTAATCTTAAATTCAATTCGTTTGATCAATTAGAACAAAGTGGATTATCCTTTGACATGGAAGAATTATAACGCGTATTTGTTAAATAACAATATAGATGTATCATAGTGTAAAATAGAGGTGCGCACAAGATGCTTTATTATGTGTACATATATAGCATGTCTAGATTTAATTAAACTCATTAATGTAGCTGATGCACTTGGTTTTATTTATTTACACTAACTTGGCAATGGATAACGCTAATATTTTTGTTTTGTGTTGCAACCAACATATTCCTCACATCAAACCCTATCGTTCGCTTTTTTTTACCTTCAAAGAAGAAAAAAAAAACAGAAAAGACAAAGACACAAAAGAAAAGTGAGATATATGAATTATTTGCACTCAGCTTGAAAGTACACGAACCTTATGTTATGTATAGTAGTGCAAATTTTCACTGTATAATGTCTTTGCACGAAATCAAATTTTTATCAATTTTAAAGATTTTTAAAGTTTTTAGATCTTTTACGATCATCCAAATTTTGTTTACGATGAAACGTTCTATATTGTCCGCTGCCACTTCTCACAGCTTTGTTAAACGGTGCAACGAGAACTGTTCTTTTGTTCGCAGAATCACAGTGTCTATGACTCGACCCAGTTCGACACAAACTCCACACCGGTGAATCCACTGTACGCGGCGTCTCTGCAGAGTCCGGATAGCATAACCGGTTACAGTATAGATAGTCAAGAAGGCCAAGCCCAGGTGAACGGTTATCAACAGTGAACGAGCTGATCGTGTCTGGCGTGATTCGACTTACATTTACGGTCACGAACATGGATTCAACGATTAGTTCAACGATCGAGTTCTATTTCATTGAAAGTGAACTACTGCGCGAAATCCATTGAAAAAAAAAAAACGTGTTCCATCGTTCGATTCTCCCCTTTAAAGAATGAAACTAGAACGAAAGAACCCCGTACGATTTCACTGAAAGAATCTAGTCGCTACGAACATTTTTAGAACAGTGCAACGTTGATGAATCATTCTTTTGATTTCATTTCTATTTCTTGTGATAGCATCAAGATAAAATAAGCGGTCGTGTGCTATTTGAAAAAGGATAAGGTTGAGTTTCTTATTCTCCGTTCAGGCGAATAGAGTTTCGTACTTAATCGATTAGATGATTCGTACTGTTAGGGAAACTGTTTAGACGATGTACGAAAGAAAGCATTTCATTATGTCGGTATCGAAATGGTCAGCGAGCTGCTAACTTCTCGAGACAGATTTCATCAGTTGAATTCGACTTTCGACAACTTGCTTATCGTTTCTCCGTCCTCTTCACCAAAGGCAGGCCTTCCCGGTCTCTCTGACTTTAGCGAAAGATCTGAGCACGATCCATGGTGAACCTCCCTCGCTATTTTCCTACTTTTGCAATTAAGAAAGCATTTTACGAACGACGAGCAAGGACAATATTGGAGAATGGTTCCCGTGACGAGCATAAAGATTTACTCGCGAGGATCGAAACATAAAAACTTAGAATTTTAAGGAGAACTCCTCGGTACTTCGTTGAAACTATTTACGAAAGACTCCATCCATCGTGTAATATGTATATACACCCTGTATTCTAGTGTAAAGGATCGTGCTATTTATATACTAATATATTATATATTATATATTATATATACAAGAATACATAACGTTATATTTATCGATATTGTATGTCCGTATTTGTGAACGTGCTACTTCTGGCAGAGCCGCATCGGACACGACAAAATTCGTCTGCCTTTTTCTCAATTTGATACGTAACACGAATCATTCAGAAACCAGTGGCGATAAGTACTCATTGATTTTACTCTAATTAATATCCTCAGAGCGTAATGCGTTAAGACAATTGCGTTGATACGATATAATCGACATTTTGAGGCATTCCAAAAAGGTTCCTTTTAATCTTTCTTCCCCCTCGTATAGATCTGATCCCTTTACATTGCCATGTTTAACGCGAACCAACGATTTTTGTACCATTTTTAAATGTACTTTAGTCAGGAACCAAAGTCTCAAGATTCGAAATCACTCTTCAAAAATGTTCGTTCGATGTGGTGATTTTAAACTCGTCTCGATAATTCGATTGCTCCTTTAGAGGATCATCGGCGGTTATGATCGAACAGCAATATACACATTACACATCCTTTCGCGCATTTGCTAACGTTCAGATCCGTACGGATCTGTGTAAATACCACGAACAGACTTATCAAAAGCTCTCTGGAGGCCGAATCTCTCTGTCAATTGCAATGTCGATTCATTCACACTTACACGTAC